GTAATTTCGAGATTATAGAATTAGAGAGTTGCGTTGTAATACCACTACAGAATTGACCTTCCAACGATTTATGTCCCACACTGGCAATCCGTGATGGATATACTGCAGCAATAACATGCCTCCCCAACCGCTAGAACATCTAAAGTCACCTACAGCGTAATGAGACACAACGTTACAAAAATAATTTTATACATTTAGCTCAGAACCTATACTTGCGGCAAAAGCAGCGGGTCTTTTAATAAGCGTTGCATATCTTCAGGAAGTAACGGCACCGTCACATCAACTCCATTATCTGTCCAGGTTCTTGGAGACGTATTTGAAGACGATGTGAAATCCATTGGTGGCCCGTCGTTAATGAGAATGCACCCATCCAAGCATGGTACAACACCATCAGCGTAGCGAGCGCGTGACCCAAACCCAAAGTCGACTTCGTACATGCCCGCTCGCGCCCAGGTCGTCACCATTATGTGCCGCTGGCCCAGAAAACCCTGCCAGATCCGCTGGGGCGACTTTTCGTATGCAATACTGTGGAGGTGCGCCGCTAGTCGTTGCGCATCATTGACTGTCGTCAGGGTCTCGCGTATACGCCGTGTGATTTGCCCAAGCGAGGCCGTAGCGACTTGCGAAGCAGCCAACTCAATGTTCAGCATCATGGTTGGCGATCCGATGAAGTTAGCACCAAGCTTGAGTGCTGGTCGGGTACCAAGCACGAGGTCGCAATGGACGGGTTCTTGGTCCGCCTGAAGACCACGAGCGCGCACCACGCACGACCAGATATGGGCCAACACGGCGTCGTGCTTGCTGATTTTCGAACCTGAAGATGTGGTGGAACTGTCTTGCGTTGCAGATCGCCATAGAAAATCGATCTGCTTCTGGTTCAAATGTATCGTGTACTGCTCTACCTTCGCTTGCGTATTCCATTCGGCCCACGGGAGCGACTTCCCCGCTGAAGGCAGATCCGCGGAAAAGGGTGCTGGAGGCTTCATAGGCGGCGCCCACCAGTCGTATCTATGCAGCGGAAGGGCAAGTGCATCTTCCATAATGGTAGGATTGGCCTCGCCGGCATTGATGTCACCCGCGGCACAAACATCCAGAAGATCAGGCTGGAAGACTGAGCTTGGGGCTGGAAAGGGTGCTTTCGATATCATGGCACGTGAATTACTCGCCCAATCCTGTGCAAAACGAGCAAGGGCCGTGATATCTGCAAGCGGGTGGGCGATCTTGGCAGCTATCACGAAACCACCACAAGCAAGCTGAGTAAGTTGCACAGCCATGCACGGCTTGTACAAGCCATTCGCATCTTTCTCGTTCGATTGAAGCGCGTTAACCAAATCTGTCTGCGGTACAAATCGAGCAAGCGTGACCTCATCCTCCAGTCGGTTCCAGATAGGTCGCCTCTTCGCAGACTGAACACTGTAAAGGCTGTCTACAGTTGCCAGGCTTGTCGCCTCCACGAATTCGATTCCCGGATCTGCACTTGTCCCATAGTATACGTATACCCGACCGTAGCGTCTGGCATGGGTGGGAAACCGCGCTGTTTCTGGGGTAGATTCATTGCTGTCAACGGTACCGATGCTTTTGAGAAATCCACACCATTGCGGGTATGTGTTCAAGGTCGCGCCAAATGCTGCGCGTAGGTGGCCGATAACATCTTTTGGAGCAAGTCGATCATTTGGGCATTCCAGGAGCCATATGGCATTAGTAAGGCTAAATTTGGCGGTTGTTGCATCTAGCAGTGACAGTGGCGTGGTAAATTCGCGGGTTGCAGGTTGATCAGGCAATATCCGGTCGATACGAACGATTTGGGGTGATTCAGATGATGTAGGAGCCGCCATATTAGTAGTAATAGTTGTGCGGCTAGGTATCCCGAAATTTCACCAAAGATGTGTCTTTATAAGACTGTCGTTCGTGGCAGGATCACCTTCCTAAATGAGTATATGTAAGGGGGCGGGGATGAGTCATTCTGAGTGCAAACCGTGTGCTTAGCACCGACAAAATGTAGAGTATTTCATGCTAAGTGATCAAAAGCTAGCTAACTATAAGGTGATGGAGCAAGCGGCTAAGTTTACAACCCTGTCTTCTGGAATTCTCCTTCAGAATACACGGTTGCTAGTGGGAGTCGAATAAGCTGTGGCCCGTGCATCGGATCAAGGAGAACTAATAAGTTTGCATTCGTCCTATCTACCGAATTAAGGAGTTGTAGGAGAGCCATAGCGATTCTGAAGTAAGATTGTGTATGTATTATTACTTCTTTTTACTTAGTTATAGTCCTCTCGCGTCCTATCGAACATGCGGAGTTCGTTTGTTTAACTACTCCTCTCTCACTTAGTCACGCTTCTCTTATACAAATTAGTTCCTTCGGTGTAGTCTGTTAAATCACAAGCTTAAAACGGCTCGTGGTATGAGTAGTTCTTTTATTTTGGCTGGCAATCGCGTCTAGCAGGTCTGCCAATATGTCGGTGGTGGAGGGTAACGAGAGAAACATCAAACGTGACTGCAACACATCTTCAAGTCTTAGTTTGATATGGATCAAGAGGTGATAACGTGAGATACAAATCAGCCTCACAAGAGTAGTATTGATCCGGAGTTGGTGGAGCCATATTTGATCCAAGGTTGTAGGATGTGGAAAGTTGGCGTGATACGAGCTCCCTCGCTTATCTATCCCATTATCATCCATTGCCGTCAATTGATTGCTTCAGCCACCACATCAATTGTTGTAGAGGCGTTTTTCCTATCATCTGTTAACCTCATTTGGTTTAGCCACCGAGTTAGCCACATCGTACGACATACAGATAGAGAGTCCACGTGAGTCTCGATTGACAGTGCGGCTCAGCCCGCGTTCAGTTTCTCGACTCAGCCTTGCGCCACCATGCGGGCCGCTGTCGCTGTCGCCAGAACAGACAATACCTAAGCTACTTTGAGTAATTCAAGTCCGTTGTCCTTATGCATTGTGTAACGCATCTCCTCAGCTGTCTCTTATGTTGCAAAAGAATAGAGATTCTCACCCCCATTCCTTGCCCTTGATTGTGCAGAAGCGAGGGACTGTGATTGACGGCGGATTGCTACATTGATTGAGTGAGAGGATCTTTAGATAAGTAGGTAGTACTGTTCCGCTATCCATGATCGTCATAGCATACCTTTACGGTCAAAAGATTCCACATCGTATATTTATTTTCTGAACATCTGTTCACACATACAGAATGGGTGCACGACATAAGTCCCTTTTCAGCTACAATTTAACTCGCCCTTTCCCTTTCCGGTGGTTCACGCCAGGGGCAGTGATTGGAGGCCTTGTGTTAACGGGGGTATTCACTTTTGTGAATTTTGCCTCAAGCGGATATGTTTTGGCCATCGAGATGTCTACCAACCCCAACGTCACCCTCGCGCAATCAATGGGTCCAATAGAGCTTTCGCCATCCTACCTTACGTCAAAAGTGAGACCAATATGCCAACCAAGCTCACTACCTGTAAACACGCGATTCTTCACCAACCAGACAGCACTGATGTATACGCTCACGAGTGTATGGCAAGAGGAGCCACAACGAATGATCTCGCCTTCGCTAACGTATCTTGGCAATGTGCTCGAGAACTGCGTTGTAAATTCGATCCAGATTGATCTTGATAGCCAGGACCGCGCGGCTAACCAACTGGCATTCACGGAATGGGGCGCGAGTGTGCGCACATATGTAACATGCCAGATATCCACAGCCACCGGGCCAGTCTTCCTCAACGTCACCCAGTCTTACGACTACGTACCCGATACCGTCTCCTTTTCCCAAATAGAAATGTTTCTGGGTTCAGGAATATTGAGTCGTGATCCGATGGCACGAACAAGTCTGTGGTGGGGCGAGTCGCTCATGTCTACATACTGGACCGAGGTCACCGCTGGCATGCAGAATGAGACGCGCGAAAGAAGCAAAGATTATTGGCCAACTCGCAAAGGCTCTCTCTACTTTGTTCCTCAGCCTGATGCCAGAATCGACGACGATGGGTTTTTTAGTTACTTCCACGCGCAGTTCATCGTGGCTACACAGCCAGGTAAATACGAATACCCAAAACCGAACAGCCATCCAACCATAGCAGAGCTCGACAGCTTGCGCGTATATCCTAACATCTGGACTCCAGCGAGCAATCTGGCCAAAGCGGCATACGCCATGGTCTTGGCTGATCTGGGTCAGAATACGAAAGAGCCAACAATGTTGACGGACGTGGAGCTATTGCGGTCATTCACTTCGAATCTTGTATCTGCGCAGAAGAAATCCGTCAATGCAAAACCTGGGCCAGCGACCCAGAGCTACGATGATGCGGATACTGGTACCTTGTCTGTGACGCCCTCAGTTATCTCCGCTCAATACCTTTGCCAAGTTCCCCGCATGCGTTCACCGGGCAGCTTACTACTAGCTGTCTTAGTGGCGGATTTAATCTTTCTCCAGACGGCCTGGCAGCTTTATAAGCTGATCTGCGAACATCTCCTTTCTCGCCGCTATCCGGATGCGAATTCGTGCCATGGGTGCTTGAGTAGTCCAGTAGAGTCTCAAGTAGCGCATCCTGTAGAATCGACTACGGGAGGGAAGTATCTGCCGGTACAGCAACGCGAAATTGAAGCAGGAGTGGCTTAGAGATTATAATTTAGTGGTTAGAAATGATATTCGTGTACTAGGTTCAGTGGGAACATTGGAATATGAACGCCATGTGCAAGCCGAGTGCAGAACATGTGCAATTGAAATAAGCAGAGCCAAAGAAAATGCAGGGAATGATTTTGTGTTTCATGCTATTAGATGGAACACCATTTGATTATCTCTAGCAACCTAGAATATACTAGATGCAATACCTATAGTGACTCTTTAGCTCAAAAACATGACCAGTACTCTATTATCTAGGTTACTACTTTCTTAGCTACTTATAAGTATATGTATATATCAATATTTAGCCTGCAGAAAGTAAGATAAGAAAACTATATTTCTAAGAGTAATGCCTTAGATATGCATAGTAGGCATTGTTTAAAGGAACTGAATCTTAAGCTTCCAGAATGGTTGTCTGTATATTCTAGTGTCCGCCATCCTCGTATATTTGATATAGATATGAAATTTTAGATCTGAGCCGGGAATATTCAGGGTTAAAGAAGAAGAGTCGGGGAGGTAATGGTCTAAGACATCTTGGGCCTGGGAAACGTCATATTCCCGCAATGTGAGAATATTTTGCACCTCTGCTACGGCGTCGGCGCATTCTGTAACGTTTACGAGGAAGTGACGCATGGAATTTTCCGCAACGGACGTCCAACCTATGATGTAAAGCATGCAATTGATGGTGGTGGTCCCGGTCATTTGTGCTCCAATTCCATGAGTCCCCACAACACTGGGATCGAAGTAGACCGAAAAGCGTAAAGCAACCCACGCCCTTGGCCGCCCAGAAGTCTCAAAAAAAGTCCCATTGCAATGATTGAATACGCCCCAATAGTCAAAGACGCTAACAAATTCTGGGAACTCCAATGCGAGAACCTGAGTGCGAAGACTGGCCAGGTATTGGCTAGCGACATACTGATCAGGTCCGTCATTTATCCTGAGAGCATACGGGATTGTGGTTGCAAGATGAATGTATCGAGGACCGACTATATATCTGGAAATCTGATATTCGACAATATTACACGGGTCGTTGCGGAGGAACATCTCATCTCCGATCTTTTCAAGGCGTATACCAAGCTCGGCACCGGAAGCAGACTTGCAGTACAAAGGCATGATGTACGAACTCCTCATGATGATCGAGTCCTTGACTATGCAAAGCGCATTAAACAATCGTATACCCCGGTTGGTGACTGAAGACTCTGACACGGAATCGATGCCCATTGATCCAGATATCGACCCAGCAGTGGAGAATTGAGCTGGGCTTTTTGCCAGGACGCCACAATGTAGTTCTGAGCTATGTTCTCTGATGCCTTGGTTTGTAGAATCCGTCCATGCGAGTATACTGAGATCAGGAGATGACTTGATGATCTCCTCTTGCAACCTGAGGAAAGCCCGATCTTCTTCACCGTAGAGCAATGGCATGTTGACGCCAAACAAGCCAAGTAATGAATAGGCCGCATCTTCGATTCGCGTTGTATATCGTGAAGAAGCCCATGACATTTTTTGGGCCACGCATATTGAATGGAGTGGGCGTCGATGCAAGAGAATATTCCGATCTATGCCCGAGATCCGGCATAGCATGGTGCACAGACTTTCCTTCGATCCCCTATATTGCCAATCGCAATCATAAAAGTATACAGTGTGAGGGGCAATAAACTCCTGTAGTGTCCAGCCACGAGTAAACCTATGTATGAGGGCATTTGCATTAAGCAGTTGTATATGCCAAGTCACGCGAGATTGACTTACCAACGGCAATGTGGCATGTCTGCCTGGAGATCCGCATCAGCCTCGAGATCGGATAAAAAGGCGTAGCAGACTTCGCTACGTTGGTACCAGGAGTACATCGAGTTGATGGCTTCAGTGAGCTCCGCGCTACTTCTCTTGTCTATGCAGCACGTATCTACCCACGCATATCTGATGCCACTCGCTTCAGCTATCTCGAGTGTCTTCATAACCTTTGCAAAGCCTTTGAAGTGTCGGCAGGCATCATTGGCGTAGTCCTGGTAAGTGATTTCTTCGGTCTCCCATGTGTGGGACAGTATGGCATACGGAGGGATATCACGACCGATAAATTCCTCAAAGTTGTGGGTACTCGTGTTGATTAGTCGCATGTTGAAGGTACAGGAGTGTTGGTATGAGAGAGAGAGAAAGAGAGAGATTAGAGGACAAGGCTGAGGATGGTGAGCTGAGAAGTACCAGTACAGCCTAGCAGATGCTGGTCGCTTATGTATGATAGTGGGGTGCTATTAACCGAACGGATGATAGCATTGCTCTTGCACTACCTCAATTGCAGCTGAGGTTTCAAGGCTTCTCATCAAGCTTGGAGAGTGTATGCACCGTATATGCACACTGGTCCTCGCTCTCTTTTTTCTTATTCCACGAGGCTGAGATATAGGTAAGAGCAGCACCGCAATGGACTGTCATCTGAAGTTTAGTGAACAGGGCCATTGCTGACCGAGCAGTCGGATAATCGTACGTCGTAATCGTTCCATTCTTGGGGGAACGATGGTAATGGAAAGGGTGATTTCTCGCTGTTGTTGTGTATGCATGTGTAGATGACTGCATGATGTGGGAGCTCTCCCACCCTCACCCCCTGGTCGTCGCGCTAAAAAGAGTGTTAGCGCCAAACGACGTCATGGTGATTGCGCGGTGCTTTTGCTTCGGACGCGATTGATGTACTTGAACAAAGCTTAAGACGCGCCCACTCTTCCCATCGCTCTCCTCATTTGGACACTGCCAAGTGATGCTTATCGCATAGCACTATGGCTTCGGCAAGTGATATCCTCACCCTCGTCAGCTCTCTGGCTCTCCGCCTGAGCATATGGATCTTCTTGCGATGGGTGAGCATAACCTGCAGATACTGCAACTCGAGCAAAACGACTGACTTGGCCGCAGATACCTACAACTGTCAGTATAGCACTACGCCAGATGACTGGTACATAAATCCATCTTATCAGGGTCATGTTAACGCGACAGGTTATACCATGTAGATCGTTCCTGCACTCGCAACCGCACTCACGCTTGTCTACATCCCGTCCTTCTTCACGAGTTTCCAGGACACAGCCCAGTACAAGATTATATCCGATGAGCTCGACATTATCGTCAAGGAAACCGTGGGCGGCAAGAGCGATGACTCGAGTGACGACATCAAGCTCATCGATGGCGCAGACGAGGGTCCGTTGCAGGAGCTCGACGTCCAGGAAACCGTCCAGTATGAAGAGAGGGAGCCCAAGGTACTGCGCACTCTTCTCACTGGGCTCCCGAGTCCTTCGTCGGCGCTATGGAGCTGGGTCACCTTTGGCATCAACATGGCCCTGATTGCTATGGCCTTGGACGTCGTTTATCGCGCGCCGCTGCTCCACCAGTGCCACGACGCGAGCTTTGCCCGTGTCGGATACGTGTCGGAGAACAGTGCGAAGATTCTGGTCAGAGAGCCCTTTGCCTTTGATGTGAGGGTTCTCTACCGCTCCATCGACGAAACTAAACGCTCTTGGATGCACAAAACACACCGCGCGAGCCAGCCAGACTACTGGCTCACCAACGAGACTGATTTTACCACTGTCCTCAGCCTCGAGCATCTACGCCCCGACCTGGCGTACGAGTACATTGTCGAGACGTCGCGTGGGAACATTACTGGTACCTTCACAACCGCACCACAGCCGGGACAAATTTCACTGCTCAAAGACAACAAGTACACTTTCGTCCATTCGAGCTGCATCAAACCCCGCGTTCCATACACACCGCTTCAGCACCCCCTCGAGTTCCCGGGCATGAAGCACCTTGCACGCTGGCTTCCCGAACTCAAACCTTATTTTATGCTTTTCCTCGGCGACTTCATCTACGTTGATGTCCCACATCGTACTGGCAGCGACGTCGAGACTTACAGACGCGAGTACCGCCAAGTATACTCCTCACCGTCCTGGCCAGCAGTCAGTCGGAATCTCCCCTGGATCCATGTCATTGATGACCATGAGATTCAGAATGATGTCAGTAGCCACGCCATCCATTCCTCTCGTATTTACCTTGCTGACCAGATATCTAGTGGAATAGCAACATGACGGGTGTAGCGGTTCCAGCGTACGATGCCTTTACACACTACAACGCTGCCCCCAACCCACCTCCTCATCGCCCGGGCGTTACTTACTTTTCCTTTACTCAAGGCCCTGCCGAGTTCTTCCTCCTTGACACTCGCCGATACCGTAGTCCTGCTAATAAAGACCCCTGGGACGCTTCCAAGACTATGTTGGGCGCCCAACAGCTATCTGATCTTCTTTCGTGGATCAAGAAGGAGCCGCCAGCCGGCGTGCACTGGAAATTCATTGTTACTGGCACACCCTTTACTAAGAATTGGCAGTTTGGGTCCGAAGACACGTGGGGTGGGCATTTGTCTGAACGCAGGATGATTCTGGAAGCAGCATGGGATATGTCATCTACACATGATATTGGTGTGGTAGTACTAAGCGGTGATCGCCATGAGTTTGCTGCCACATCGTTTCCACCGCCCAAGGACGGCAAATGGCCCATCAGCGCCACGGTACACGAGTTCAGCACTAGCCCACTGAGCATGTTCTACCTCCCCTTCCGTACGTACAAGGAAATTGATGACGAGGATGTATGCTTGAAGTATCTTCCCGATGGCAACAGCAAGTTTGGTGCCGTTGAAATCACGACACCTGAGCATGGGGAACAGAGCTTTGTCACGTATCGGTTGTTCATTGATGGCGATGAAGCCTGGACACATGTCATCAGTACGCCTCCAGGAAGAGCGGGTAGTCATAGGGCGAAGGATGCGGTCTGGGGATGAAGGGCAGCTATTGCTAGGCGTTTTCTCTTCTCTTTTTTGACCACGTCTGGTTCATAGTTATTTTTTTCAGAATACATTTGTGTTTGATAATCAAACGCTCATGGTTCAAAGGTCAGGGAAGTCTGTATATATATTCATCACTTTAGGACAACAATGGGTATCTTTTGGATTACTGACGATATCTCCATAATGCGTAACACTGTTCAACATCATCCCCACTTCCTTCTAGCTTTTTCTTCATCTGCCTTGGACCACTCTCTGGGCAAGATAGCAAAGACCAGATAGGAAGTGTGCGTCTTGAGCTCTGGCTCTGTTCGATGAACCAGCCTGCCCTCCTTGTACAAAGGTCTCGTCTCGAAGTCCTTCTTGGTCTGTGCCAGCCGGTCGTGTTTGCTCGGCGGCACGCCCTCCAACTTCTTCTTACCCTTGCGAGCACCGCCGTCCACATCACAGTCGACATTTTCGCCCCTCTTCCTCGCCTCAGCCTTGCGCATCACCTCCTCCTGCTTCTCGCGCTGCATGCTGTGGAAGACGGCGGCGCGGCCTTCTACGTCGCGGAGGCGCTGCACCGCTTCTTGTACGTTTGCGGGATGCGCGTTTCCACCTCTCACACCTTCTTCCTGCAGTCCCACGCGCTCGCGACGCACGTCGAGGCGCTTTGCGTTGATCTCCACCATATCGATTTCCTGCCAGCCGAGGGTGCGCAGGGCCGAGACGGTCTTGGTGACTTGCTCGATGCAGGGGCTGAAGGTGCAGATGCGGACTGCATTGCGGGGATTGAGTGGGGTGGCGAAGGGTTTGCGATTTGTTTCTGCGGGTTGCGCCGTAGGTGTGGTAGGATCGTTGTCTCCGGAGGTGGGTGTGGATATGTCGGTTGCTACCGAGTTCAGGGCGGCGGTGGAGGGAGGGGAGCGCGTGAGGTGTTTGAGTGCGTGCCACGGAGCAGGGAGATCGAGGAAGATGCAGTCGGCATCTGGACCTGGCGAGTTCTCCAGACCGAAGCCGTCGTTGTAGACATCACGGTGGGTTACTGTGACGAGGGGTTCGAGGCCGTGATCTTTGATTTCGGCTCGAAGTTGGTTTGCGCGTGGTTCGTGATACTCGAAACTGTAGACGCCGCCGGTTCGTGTCTTGCGCTTTCGCTTCTTGGACATGCCTACTGCGTTTTCTTCCTCGCCGTTGGGCTCGTCGAGGGCGTCGCGGGTGCCCGGGTAGCCATTGTAGACTGCGCGTATGGCAGCGTGTGTAAAGCTTCCACTTCCTGCGCCCGCTTCGATAATGTGGTCGCCTGGCCTTGCGCGCAACCTCTGCAAAATGTAGCTGTAGTCGGGCGTGTATACAACCTGGGTACGATGTGGAAGAGACAAAGTCCACATCTCTGGCGTAGGCGGTATCAGATGCGCAAACCCACTGCTCGCCGTTGCCGCCTTAACAATATCCTTCTTGGCCACTTCTGGCTCGGCAGACACCGTACCCTCGCTCTCATCTTTGCCGTCCCTCTTCCTCTTCTTGGACTTGCCACGCGATCCAGTGTCGACGACGGATGCGAGAATCTGGGTGCCCCAGGGTTGGCCGACAAGCGTGCTGTGGGGGAAAGAACCAAAGCGCGTGTTCTCTACTTTTCCCTCGGCGTAGTCAGAGTCGGCGTTGGGCTTGAGGAGGGCTGGGATGAGGTGATCACGGCGCAATTGCAGGATACCCAGATTGTCCGCTGTCGCATACGCTCCAGGGTCGAGGAAGGGGGAGGGAACAGGCGCCATTGTATCTTTTTCAGACGATACAGACAGCCACGACGCGGGGAGCAAGCAGTAGAGACGGCGAGGTGAATGTACAAGAAGTTGCAAAACCCGCAATGGAAGCGTCGCATATGCACAGAGATATTTGGCGGGGAGCTTTGGGCACGGTGATTGGCCGAGAGCGCCAAGATTTTGCTGACAGGGATTATGGAGGGTTCGGCCAGAGACCACCCACACAACGTGACACTCCCCTACTGACGGACTGACGGACTGACTCACCCGGTAAGCAGCAACCCAATCTACTTACACCTGGCCTGATTGTTATTCTTTATTTATCTACTCGGATTGTTGCACTCTCGCCCGTGGTCACCACAGTGTCTCGTCACATTGATGGTACTGGCGTTCCGGTCTTTGTCCCGCACCGTCAAGTCGTCTTCCCCACTTCTGCTCTCCAAAACTAGTCGGGTAGTAAATCAAAGTCAGCGCATTCCCAGGTGTCTCGCCGCCATGGCGACTCCAGCCCGCACCCAGCCACCATGGAAACAGCCACAGGGCTCCAGCCCTGCCAAACTCAAAGTGTGGAACTCGTTGACCAGATCAAAGAACGACTTTGTTCCTATTGACCCGGAAGGCAAAGAGGTCAAGTGGTATAGCTGCGGGCCGACAGTCTACGATGATGCTCATCTGGGCCATGCTCGCAACTATGTCACAAACGACATTCTCCGCAGAATATTGGCCCATTACTACGGATACAATGTCAAGTTTGTTCAGAATATTACAGATGTCGATGACAAGATCATTCTGCGTGGCCGTCAACAGCACCTTCTCGCCAAGTTCAAAGCAGACAACCCAACCGTCACAGAAGAGGTCATCAACACCACCATAAAGGCCTTTGATGCATACGTCAAGAAGAATCTCCCCCTTCTCAGCGAAGACGTGACCATTGGCAACTTCAACGAGGAGTCCGCTCAAAAGTACGCCAATGTCATCCAAGGCAAGTCGGTCGATGGCGTTGGTCCTGCTGGTGACAAGGAAGCCAAGATCAAGATGCACCTTCGAACAGCTGGCACTGCAGTTACTTCATTGCTAGCCCCGTCAAAGTCGACACCTGAAGACATCGAACTGTTCTATGCTGGCGCTGAAGATGTCTTGCTACCCTATTTGGACTCCCTATACGGCTCTTCCATTGATGCCAGTGACCACACTGTTTTCACAACACTCACCAAAAAGTACGAGGCTCGGTTCAACGAGGATATGGAAGCTCTCAATGTGCTAGACCCAGATGTAGTCACGCGAGTAACCGAGTACGGAGACCAGATTGTTTCTTTTGTAGACAAGATCATCAAGAACGGTATGGCTTACAGCACTTCTGATGGATCCGTCTACTTTGATATCGAGGCTTTTGAGAAGAGAGAGGGCAACCACTACGCACGTCTGGAGCCATGGAACAGGGGTGACACCAATCTACAAGCTGATGGCGAAGGCGCCCTGTCATCAGTCAAGACGTCGGAAAAGCGAAATGAATCAGATTTTGCTCTCTGGAAGTCAAGTAAACCTGGTGAGCCGGCGTGGCCAAGCCCCTGGGGGCCCGGTCGACCAGGATGGCACATCGAGTGCTCAGTCATGGCCTCAGCAGTCCTAGGCGAACAGATGGACATTCATAGTGGCGGTATTGACCTTTGCTTCCCACATCACGACAACGAGCTGGCCCAATCGGAAGCGTACTGGTCACAGGATGGGCGCCCAACCCAATGGGTGAACTATTTCCTTCACATGGGTCACTTGTCAATATCCGGCTCTAAAATGTCGAAATCCCTTAAGAACTTTACCACAATTCGCGAAGCTTTGAGTCGTGGCGACTGGAATGCGCGCAGTCTGCGCATCATCTTCTTGCTTGGAGGCTGGCATGATGGTGTCGAAATCACTCCGGACATGCGCAAGTCTGGTTCGTCGTGGGAGAGTTACGTCACCAACTTTTTCTACAAAGTCCGTGATTTGGAAGTGAATCCCAACATCGGTTCGACAGGCGCAGAAGATGACAAGATTCTCAAGTCGTTCGAATCTGCCAAACAAAAGGTTCACAGCGCGCTGGCCGACTCCTTCGATACCCCTACGGCCATGCGCGCAATTTCGGGTCTCATTACAGAATACAACTCTGCAGACAAGGCTGGCCTCAGCGACTCTGTATCGTTTGATGTCGCCCGCTACATCACTCGCATTGTCCGCATATTTGGACTGGACGGTTCAGCAGACCCATACGACGGCGGCATCGGCTGGGCAGGTATCGACATTCCCTCGGCGGCCAAAGAGCACGTGTACGCCGTGTCACGGGAACGCGACGAAGTACGCCAACACGCCATCGCTGGCGACCTCTCGGATGAGGTCTTGCAATCCATCATTGCGCAACATAACCCCACGCAGAAGCAGGATATCGAAGCACTTCCGTATGCAGAGGTCCTATCCACTTTCCAAGAGAATCTGCAAAACCTAGCCAAGAAGAAGGCTCCGGCAAAAGATTACCTAGACCTTTGCGACCAGTTGCGCGACACTCATCTCTGGGATCTCGGCATTTACCTGGAAGATCGCGAGAACGCGCCTGCAATGGTGCGTCCTGTTGATGCCGAACTGCAAGCCGCGCGCTCTCAAAAAGAGGAAATCGCCCGGCAGAAAGCGGAAGCGAAGCTGAAGCGCGAGCGCGAAGAGGCCGAGAAGAAGGCCAAGCTTGCCGAACAAGCCAAGATCAACCCCAAGGATATGTTCAGAACTGAGGAATACAGTGCGTGGGATGATGAGGGCTTGCCGACAAAGGACAAGGATGGCGCTGATGTACCCAAGGCGCGCTTGAAGAAGATGAAGAAGGAATGGGAAAAGCAGAAAAAACTGTTTGAAGAGCACGCCACCAAGGCTTGATTGGTTTGTTTGTAGAGAGCATAGACGGCATGTCAATAGCATCCATGTGGCGAGTCAATGTTAGAGTAGGCGTACTGCAAAAGGGCTGCGAGGCAGTTGGCATGTGGTGTTCATATTTATCCAGTGAAATATACTGGGTGAATGACTAATGCAGCATGATGCCGAACATGACGAGTGAATACTCAAGCGAAAAAGAAAAATGCCAATTTAAAATACATATTCAAAGCAGTGTTGTAGGTGACCAATCGAGATGAATGCGAGTGGTGCCATACCGATCGTTGAGCCCTGCATAGTGGCAATGTTCAGGCGTCATGTTTCCAAAGTACAGAGTCCATTAAGCGCGTCGTCCCAACATGTAGGGCGTGCCAAGGCCCGTAATGCACGACTCGCGCATCACGAATGCAACTTTGTAAGTTCTCTGTATTGCGCTATGACTCCAGTAATTATCAGGTCAAGTAACCAAGAGAAGTATTAGGGCTCCATTATGTGTAGATCCAAGGATAACTGGATTTTCCTAGGCCCAAACTGCATCTATAGTAGAGGTTAGTAGGTATGTATTAGGGATGCAGTGGTATAACCGGGTTTTAGCACAACCCAAGGCCAACGCCTTTTTTTATCCCCACCAATGCCATTAGCACCAACGTCGAGACCTCACCCACAATCGGATTTCGACTAGTTTCCGCGGCCGATGGGCGGGGAGGGTCCACTAAATGACTACCCACTTGGCTCACCGTCGGATAAATCGCCGAGTGACTGAGGTTCTTCTTTACCGTCTCAATGCTACATAACTAGTCGTGCTCCGTATGGGCACTTCTCTCTCCTTCACTCCCTCCATTCCCGTAGACTTAATGACAAGCCCACTGTGCCTTCACAATGCCATCAAATCATGATATCGAAAAAGCCCTGGCTCCAGCCCACGAGCAATTGACTACTCCTACTACTATTACACAGCACGACCATGCCCCAGCCTACACTTCCATCAAAGCTCCCTCGTACCCCCAATCCCAATCCGAGCCCGACATGATCAGAGTACCAACCCACACCTCCCACGCCTCCCGCACAAAACAGACCATCCTCGACCTCGCCAAAACCATCACCGCCCGCTCCAACGCCGACATACTCGACCCCGGCCCACCCCCAGACGGCGGTACAAAAGCCTGGACCCAAGCCCTCTGCGGCCACTTGGTCGTCTTCAACACCTGGGGCATGATCGCCACCTTTGGCGTCTTCCAACAGTACTACACGCTGCACCTGGGCCTGGAGCCCTCTGCCGTGTCCTGGATCGGCAGTTTCCAAATGCTAGGCCACTTTGCACTGGGAATGCTAACAGGCCGCTTGTTCGACGCGGGCTTCTTTTACTGGTCCGCAGTCCCTGGCATGCTGGTTTCTGCGCTCGGTATGTTCATGACGAGTTTGTGTACGCGGTACTGGCACTTCTTTCTCGCGCAGGGCCTCATGACGGGCGTGGGCAATGGAATGCAATTTGCACCCGTCCTGAGTCTTGTGAGCACGTATTTTGCGAGGAATAGGAGTGTGGCGCTGGCGATTATGGCGTCGGGGAGCGCCACGGGCGGCCTGGTTTATCCGACTGTCGCTAGGCAGTTGCTGCCTCGCATTGGGTTTCCGTGGACGGTTAGGGTCATGGGTTTTATGATGCTGGCGGTGGGGACGGGCTACAGTTTTCTTTTGAAGCCCAGGCTGCCGCCGCGCAAGTCGGGGCCGGTGCTAGAGCTTAGTGCTTTTGCAGAGTTGCCGTATAGTGTGTTTTTGCTGGGTGTCTTTCTCATTGCGCTGGGCCAGTACTTTGCGTTTTATTACATTTCCTCTTTTGCGGTTGATATCCTGGGTTTGCCGTACGAGACTTCGATCAATGTCTTACTGGTTCTCAACGGCATTGGCGTGCTCGGTCGTCTGGTTCCGTCTTGGTTTGCGGATAAGTATACGGGGCCGTACAATATCCTCATTCCGTTTTGCTTCGTTTCAACGCTCGTTTTGTTCTTCTGGCCGCTGGTCAAGAGCGAGCAAGGATTGTATGCCTGGGCTGTGTGCTACGGCTTCTTCGTCGCCGGCTTTCAGGGTATCTTCCCAGCAGTCATGACCACTCTGACAAAAGATATGAGTAAAGTAGGGACAAGGAACGGCCAGGGCTTTGCTATTGTGGGATTGGGTACTTTCATCGGGCCTCCCATTGCAGGGGCTTTGATACAGAACTATGGTGGAGGTTACCTGAGTGCACAGCTGTTTGCGGCTATTGCCGTGTTGCTGGGCAGCTCTATTTTAGTTTTGGGTAGATTGAGCATTACGGGGTTGAATTTCAAGGTGAAAGTTTGAGGATGGAGTAATTGACTTGGAGCTGTAAGCATTTAGATAACCAAAACTTGATTTGGATTTATTTATTTTGAACCATCCTTGCAATGTTCATTGAATGCCATGACTGTGGCTTTGGATCAATCAAACGCGTACAGCGTAGCGTAAGACATGGTTTCAAGAAGTTTGGAGCGAGGACAGCGGCTCTGCGTTATACAAAGGTAGCGGGCACTGCAGTGTAAACATGGCAGGTTTATATATTTGCGTCAAAGTAGAAGTTCAATTTCATCATCATCATCATCAACACCACCTCACAGTAAGAAACACCAGTTTGAAGTTTCATATATGTATTCCACTATCTGGAATATCTAGCTACATGTCCCGCATTGAGATCAAAGTCCCTTGTCTCGTGCTGCAAAATCCCGTGCCCAGGTATATCACCAATGCATGCATCTCAGCAGTACCCGAGAATGCGAAAACAAGAAAATCAATCGTAGATATCGATGGGTCTGATATCTACAAGCCGCCCCTTGGAGCCGAAGGAAAGAAGGGCAGCCTACATAAGAAAACCGTGCCTCGCCCGTACATGGATGGACCGCACGCCGGCTGCAAGTCAGCCTGAATGAGCAGATGGTGAGAAATCACCTATCTAGCATAGCCAAGGATAGTCTTCGAAGTCGGCCAGTCATGAGGCGCGGGTAACTCACCCCAAAGACTCTCAAAAACAGAGACACGAGGCGAGGGCGTCCTGCCCCAAAGATCCCCAGGAGGAGAGGGCGCCTTGTTCGAAGGATGCTTAGAAGAAGGGGCAGTACAAGAAGAAGAACCAGAAGAAGACGAAGGAACATACTCCGAGTCATCACCTCCATCGCTCTCCTCCTTACGAGACTCTTCGGCAGTCGGTGCTTCAACCTGCATATCCTTGGCCAAGTCAAACGCATCCTGGAGGCTGATCTTATCCGTGAGACCCTTTTCCTGGACCCACTTCCACACCTTGTTCATGCCTGCGCTGCCTTCGATGATGAATTTTTCGGGGCCGGAAACGTTGCTGCTGTCGATGGGGATGTGGACGGCCTGGCCTTCGTGCTCGATGGTGGCCCAGTAGGTGACGATGTAATCGGTAGGCTCTGGAAGCTTGGCTGCGGAGTCATCGGCGGTGTCGTCAGGAATGTCATGTTCATCGATATCGGAGGCGGTTTTGAGATCTTCCCACCCAGATGCGCAAGTAGGAATGGCTTCGCCATCGATCGAGCCCCAGAAGCCGTCATCAGGTGCAGTTGAATCGGCTTTGTGAGCAAGGCGCTTAACGCATTCGCCATTACACGATGGAATCCAGAAAGTATCGGCATGCTGAATGGAAGCGATATCCTCAAACGTGCTAGCCCATATGGCAGCAGCCGCAGCACGGCGATCCTTCTCCAACTGAGCAGAGTCGTGGTGAACAGTGGCCGAATCGGCTTCATGAGCAAGTTCCTCAACGCAGCGACCGTTGCACCATGTATTCAAGCAATCATCAACATGCTGAACCACAGTCTTGGTACCCCACACAGCGTCCGCACATGTGCCATCTGCGGCTCCTTGGTGACCCTTCTCCAACTGAGCAGGTGCAGAGTAAGCAGTGTCGTCAGACGCCTCACTCTCACAATACGCTTGCTTGACACCAGTCTCGTTGGCTTCATCGCGAAGCATGGATGCTGTGTTGTCATCGTTGTCCTGGTGTGAAGACATCCACTCCTTCAACGCCTGCTTGAGTGAAGGCGGATCATCAGCGGCCTGCTGGTATAGACGGAGCGCAACTTCTCCATCGCCACTACACATGCGCGTAACGTTGTATGCATCCTTTGCGGTGAAATCCTTTGGATGGTCCATGCAAAACCGGAACAATGCAGTGGCCAATATGGTGGCCAAGGGCACCTTGCATTTGGCCAAGAGTGACTGGGCGTGCGAGGTTACAGAATCCGCAACGAGAGCGTCCGTGGCGTTCGAAGACTTTGCAGTAGCGGATGGGGATTTCTGAACAGGCTTTGAAGTGCCCTCGAGCTGCTTGAGATGGGAGATAAGCGAGTCCTTGATATCATCTCCAGTCGACACGGCTTCATGATACCCTTGGGACTGACGCCGAGCTACTTCGGCGGCCCGAATGTCGGACAGCTCCTGAATGCGGGCAACTACATAAGCCATATAAGGTGGGACAACGACTTGCTCGCGCCTTGCCGGTGATTTCTCGGTAGCAGATGCGGCTTCCATCTTCTGAATGAAGTGAGTCGCCGGCAAGGTACCCAGCTCCTCGCCCTCGAACTCTCCGTCGTCCAGATCATAATCTTCTTCGTCAGAATCTTCAAACTGATCGGGATCCTTAGCAAACCGCTTCTCCACCTCAGACAGAGACACATCGAAAGCCACAGCATACTGCTCCTTCATCTCAGACAGACGCTCTTCCATCTGTTTGACCATAGCAGTCATATCAGTTGACCATACGCCGGATGAGGGGGATGCAAAAGCCTTGGCGAGTCGCACGAAGCTGTGCATGGCAGACCTGAAGCCATCACGCTTCTTGTATTCCTCAATGTCGCTCTCGATATCGACGATGACTGATGGTGACGTTGGCGTCAGACGCTCACGAGAGTGGAGTGGAGACATGTTGTCTGAGTAGCTCATCTCCTCGCACGAAGACTCAGATCCCGAAGCAGATACTATGTCGACAGTGACACTCGTGTCACCGGGAGTAGTCTTGTTGACGCTCCGGGGTGTAGTGGGGCGGTTGGGTCGGATTTTCTTGGCCATGTTTAGCAGTGTGTAATGAGCAGTGTATGATGGGTTGTCAGAAAATTTGGAAGAAAGTATGGTGGAGATATACTCGCTACTGGTAGCAGGATTATATCTTGCTAGGAGAAGCTTGGACGCTGGATGAGGTGAGAGCGTTTGCAGACCAGTTCATAGTGAGAGAGAAAAACATTGCACGGGGCAGCCATATGAGCATCTGGTGACGTAAATATCGAAGGTGAATTCGAGTTGGAGTGAAAGTAAGGCACAGTCGGTACCTTCGTGGATACCCCCGGCGTGTTACCGCTGCTCGAAGTAGATAGACACCTTCTTCAATCAATTCCTTAGCAGTAATTAGTGTTCAGCTTTGCTCTACCACCTTCATTGGGGGTCGTCCCTTAATCTTCCGATATTCATCTTGAATCACGCTACGATACGTACCAAAAGTCCCTATGAGCATACAATATCGCATATACCTTCATCGAAGCAATGGCCTCCTCTCCCCACCTCTCTCATTCCACCAAATGAATCCCCTCCGCCCCGTCCCCTCATCCACAACCTCCACCTCTTCCTCCCTCTGCATCCCACCAACCCTCCTCCACCACCTCCCCCAACCCTCCCTCACCCACACCCCGCCCCTCCCATCCTCATAGACAACATACCCCCCGCTTCTCGCCCTAGTCCCCCAAACCACCCAACCAACACACTTGGACACTCCATAAAGCACCAGCACCCCAAACAACGTACAAAAAATCGTAACAAGGGACGTCAAAAAAGTGATAGTAGAAACCTGGCATCCCAGCCCGCCAGTCCGCAGTTCAAACCGCTCAGATCCCAATGCGCAGATGTCATGGTGGCGAATAGGCGACAGCAGCGGGAAAGTCCTGGAAAAAGCATCGTCTAGCGGGAGAGGAAGACAAGTTGAAGACTTTATTACCGCATCAGTTATTTAATCAAAAACCGGTGAAAAAGTTCCATTGTTTTTTTATTTTTTTTTGATGAAACACACAATAAGATGACATGGAAGAAAGAAAAACGTACAATCGCGCACCATCCGCAATGACCTGTACTTCGATGGCAATCGCCGCAGTCCATGTAGCCCCAGCATCGCTTTAGGCGGTCCCAATCTTCCTTGGGGCTCTTCTGTAGACGTTGGTGGAAGAGCTCTGTTGTATTGATGAATGCGCCGTTGTCGCGCGTGACAGAGGTTGCGGGGCAGTTTGATGGCATTGTGTTTGTTTGGTGTAGTGAGGGACTTGAGATGGTTTAAGGCTAATGTCCATCCCTACGCGCCAAGACGCTAAAGAGAGTGTGTACTATTAATAATACTCCGTCACGTGTAGGCTGTGTATAGGAGCGTGATCAAATATCGCTGTTTACTATTGAAATGACTTCAAAACTGTACATTGAGCTGTTGGTGCCGAAGAATTGCTATGGCGCATACATGCAGCAGATGCGATTACAATATTACAGCGTGACCTTAGCTGGTATCGCTGTTTGCGCTACTCAAAGATGCCAATACCGTTGCTATATTACGAAAGAATTGCGAGGTAAAGGCAAGAGCTAAAGTAATTATTCCGTGCATAGAATTGTTACACAGAGTTTGGACTATACTTCTTTAGCCGGGTCCGCACGAAGGCCGGTAAGCTTTAGGATAGTATACCGTGATATTTTGTGGCGATTCGTATTGGAAAAGAAATATAGATGTAACTGGGTTTTTGAAGACAACTTAATTCTTATAGAATTACCTTCTCATAAACACTCCATACACGTTCCTACAGCTCATCCTTCCCTGGCCTGATAGGCGCCTATTGAATCGCCGAGAGTTATCAAACTCGCATTATAGCTTACATTTTCACATGCAGCGTAGTGCCGACACCAATAAGTATCTTGTTCGTTGCAATTTCCCGCAGTCTGTAAAGCTTGTGTTAGTGAACTTCCTTTTTTACAACAAACAACCCCTTAATACTATAAACTGTCCGAGATGACCTACTCCCCAGTTCGGATCAGCAGAATGGCAATACTGAGTGTCTATCCGCCCAGCTACTATGCCTGTAAAAACAGGCATGATAAGCAAGCTTAAAAAGCGCATTGTGCCTAACGTAGTGCAATCTGTATAGCTATAGACCGCTTGAGCTAACAAAAGATTGTCGTAACGCTTTAGTTCGTAAGAAAAGCACTTAGGAAGATTGATCGACTATAGCCTGAGTTCGTCTTCATCTCCTTATATAGCTGCTCCTTCGGCAAAAGTCCACAGAGAATATGCGGTCAAAAGGTCTGTGAAATCACCATCGATACGAATGCTTTTCACAGTTGCGCAGCTTATAGCAGAAAAAAAAATCATAGCGAAATGAAAGGTCAAAATGATTCATAGCCCTCTCATATGGGGAAGATATATCATAAGTATTTATCCCACAGCCAACTAAACTAGCTTGTAATGTGGCTGAACGTCCCTTCGGTAGAGCTTCTCGATAGGATTCTCTGTGCGTGATTACATGATTCAAGTGCTTAGCTCTAGCAATTAGCATCTCCTGACCCCCCTATGAGGAGTAAGCACTAGTGGAAAGAGAGTAATATTTTCTTTCTCAGAAAAGTTATTAGTGAGTAGCAAAGGGGAGGGCTTCCTCTATAGAGCTATTGCTAGGGTAACGTGCATCCCCCTCGCGACAGATAGATGCACGTTAGTCATATCCGTCACGAAAGGAACAAATTCTTTTGCAGGAGGGAGGAATACAGGCTGCGGAGAAAGGAAAAAACTCTGATTGATTTGTCGGCCAGAGGAGGACCGATATGGGAATGGGATGACAGAAAGTGGGGCGATACGGGTGATGACGATGAAAGGAAAGGTGGTGCGGTATAGGGCAAATGTTTTGTGTCATAGAAACGCTAAGGTGCACTAGTCACGCGAGCACTTCGTTCCATTCTTGGAAGCATTGCCAAGTATGGAACATCACTTGAGAACAAGAATGAGGCATACTCATGAATGGCAACGGTCTGAAATGATTCAATTACAGAGAAATGAAGATATATACAAAAAGATGAAGCGCATATATACGGTTTCCCTGCAATTCTCATGCTAGGGAATGGCTAAAGATCTCTTATGCGGGGGTGCATTGAGAGTAGAAGGTGTTGTTGAAGGTGCACTTGTATCCGCTGACACAAGCTGTAGGGCCGGTCCAACCTTGGCCACCGCATCTGTTGCCGTGTAAGTTTATGTTTGATACTCAAAGACACTTGAGTCACTTACTGTTGCCAGGCACCAGATACGGCGGTTGGGGTAGGTTTGGCCGATGACTTGGTGGGAGTAGCGCTGGTTGGCTTGGCTGAAGAAGCAGGAGGAGCTGAGCTGACTGGCTTGGACGAGACAGACGATCCACCTCCAGTGCTAGGACCAAGAGCAATGATCTTGGCAGCTGCGTGCTCTGCGGCGGTGATGATGTAAGAAGTAGGGTTGGTGAAGATTTGACTGCATCAGGTCAGTTTGTAGATCAAGAAAAGTGTAGTGTATGGGGACTCACCCAGGGAAGATTGAGGCATCGACGACGTGAATGTTCTTTGTTCCGTAGACCTGAGCGTTCAAATCAACAACAGAGGTTCCGCCAGTAAGTCCACTGTCAGTTCCAAGCTTAGCGGTACCGATCCAGTGGTTGGCGCGGCGCGCAGATGGGGTCTTTGGCAGACTGGCGACGTATTCCTCGACAGTCTGGTTGACATTGGGGACCTGGAACTCAATCTGGGGGTTCTTCTTGATGGCCTTGATCATGCTCTTGATCCCAGCAATGACGACATCGGTATCGGCCTGGTTGTTCAAGTATGGTGACTTGCTGACAACCATGTTGAGAGCACCGTTGATGGAGAGGGCACCTCGCGAGGTAGAGCCGTGGCCGAGGTACTGAGAGATGGTGAGGTGGTTGGTGTCATTGGGTCCTGGGCCTTCAACACGAGCAGTCCACTGGATGGATCGGTCAATTCCGTCAGATCCCTTGATCATTTCCCAAGCAACAGGGCCAATGTTGGGGGCGGAGGTAGCGAGGATACCTGAGCGCTTGCTCAAGTACAGGTTCTTGTCAGCCTCGATAGGGGTGTCCCATGCCTCGTAGAAGTTGTAGTTGGAAATGTTGGGGTGCTTAATGACGAGATCGGTGTTGACGTGGTCGTTCAAGTTCTGTCCGACAGGAAGGTTAATCCAGTCAGACTCCTTGATCATAGTAGCACCGTCGCGAGCGCTGGCCTTGACAACACTGAGTTGGTCCTTTGGTCCAATACCACTGCGGAAGAGAAGCTTGGCACTTCCGAAAGAACCAGCGGAAAGGACGACACGGCCACCCGGGTTCAGGTTGACAGTACCGCAGTAGCCGGTGCCACCAACGCCGCTCTCGAGTTCAACACCAGTAGCGACTCCGCCGTTGCGGATAACACGGCGAGCCATGGTGTTTGTCCAGAGCTTGAAGTTTGACCTCTTAAGCGCAGACACCATGTAAGTGCCAAGAGGACCCTGACGCTGCCCGTTCTCGTACATGAAGGGAGCGTGGGAGTAAGTCCTGTTCTTCTGGTTCTGCTGGCTGTTCGCAGTGACGCTCTTCCAGCCATCAGCACCAAGGGCACTGGAGAGAAGGTTGAAGCCTTCTTGCTTGTAACGCTTGCCATCGACGGAAGGAGTGTCAGTTCCAGGGATGCGCGAGAAGACGCGGTCGATGGCAGGCTTGACATCGGATGATTTCCAGCCAGCAGGGAATTGGTAGTCGAAGTCGATATCGACTGGCTTCCACCAAAGCGCAGCGTTGACGGCAGCACCGCCACCAAGCACGCAGCCGGCCATCTGGTCAATGTCGGTACAGGCGACACCAGCAGAGTCAACCCAGATCTGGTTGCAGAGACCGGGGATGTCGAAGCGGGTGAGGTTATTACTGAGAGCCCAGGCAGGGCCCATGTTTCCACCAAAGCGAGCAAGAGATGGCGGGCCTTTCTCGAGCAGAAGAACACTCTTGCCGGACTCGGAAAGCTTGTCAGCCATGGGGATACCTCCAGCACCACCACCGATGACAATGTAGTCGTAGGAACCGGTGGGAGCGGGAGAACCCTGGCATGCTGCAGTTGGTGTGGGGGAGGTACCAGGCTGTGAGGGTGTAGGTGAGCCTGTGGGGGGCTGGGCCAGTTTTTCCCAGTCAGGGTATTTTGCGCTCCTGGCCGGGGCAACTTGAGCACCGAAGAGACCCTGGCCCTTGTTGTGCTGGACCCAAGTACCGGAGTAAACCTTATCGTGCTGAGCCCATCCAATGACTTGCACCTCGCCAGTTGGTAGTTGAGAGCCTTCGGCACCTCCTTGGTTCCAAGCCCAACAGCTCTTGCACAGGTAAACGTACTCAAAGTTGGTGTCAGAAACCTTCTGGTAGATTGTGCTTAGAGTGGCATTGCCAGTGTAGTCAACGGGGGCTGTGTAGCCACTGTACTTGGTTAGTGGGGGGATTTGACAACCATGTCGGAACTAAACTGACGCTGCATGGTAGAAGCCAGCCTTGACAGCATCGTTATCGGGCCAGGCCACGAGAAGAAGGGCATCGGGCATGCCACCACGGTGACTCAAACCAGACCAACCCTGGCCGGAGGTGAGGGAACCTTTCTGGAGTGGTGTGTTAGTAAGGGCAAGACTAGGCAGATAATACGGTATATATGTTTTGGAGGACTCACAATGTAACCAATGTAGTCCAAGTTGTTGCCAGTCGAGGCTTCGGGGAGGGCCATTCCCCATTCGAGGCCACCAGCAGTCTCAGCGCTACTGACCACTTGGCGCCAAAAGGTGATGCCGGTGGCAGCATGGGTAAAAGTTTCCTGAGCGTATGCTAGAGAGGCGAAAGAAGAAGAGAGCAGCGCAGCTGCCTTTGCAAAAGAAGAGCCCTTCATGTTGAGGGGTTAGTAAAAATGAGCGAAGGTGAAAGCTGGCGGGCTGGAGGACCATGCCAGGGTGCCATGGTGGTTATATACATTTTGAAGGTGCCCGCCATCATACACCCCTCCCCCCTAGACGCTTCTATCGAGTGCATAGAAGGTAGGATGGACGCCAATAGGGCCAAGCCACTACCTGGGGGAGTTGCATCTGGAGGCGGCAGAACAGGCCCCTTGAGCCAGGCACAGAAGATGGGAATCGAGAACGGTGGGGCTCGCAAGCAGGTTGGATTAGCATGAGACGCGGTGCTATTGGGCGCGGGGGGTGGTCAACGTGACCTCGCCAAGGGCCAGGGCAGGTGGTTAATATGTAGCAATAAGGGCGACATGGGGGAGTTGATTGATGTAGATTGCCTTAAAGCCGGGAATCCAGCTCATTTGCCGTCGGCGACGCTGCTATAGCCCGTTTGGGACACTCGAGGCTTGCCCCAACCGGCCTAGCGCCGTTTAAGCGGCTGGAAACAACTCTTGGGACTCATCCTTTCATCACACACTCGCACCCCCAGCCATGCGCCCAAGCCCTCTTTTTGACCGCATTCGCACGTCCTTTTCGCTAACGGCTCTGTGACGCCCGTTCCGGCGACTCGCCTCAAGTCCAGTGTCAGTGTCGTCAACTTTGCGGCGCTTGCATGTGCGACTCGGTCTCTCCACACTACTTCCCACTACCAATCTAATATATTGTGTCTGCTGTCGTCTCGCCTGGCATCGCCCACCACGCCGCCTCGGGCCTTCCATTGCCCTGCAATTAAGACGGCCGTTTATTCATCTAATTGTCGGCTCCTCGCGCCTGCATGTACTTATCTGGCCATGCACGTGCTACAGATACAGGGACACGTGCAGCAACGCCCGACAGTATGTATTTTGCGCAGGGCGGATATATTGACAGACCGGAGCATGTACCTATTGTCTTTGTGGCTTTGTCATGATGAGAAATAATGCCGAGTTTCGGTATCCATCCTTCCTCTTGCGCAACGGTGCCTTGTTCCGTTTAGTGAGCGGCCTAGCATCATTGCATGTATAGAGACATATAGTACTCGAGTACATATGGAGCAGCCTTTGGTGCATGTCTGCACCGGACACGGAGGAACTACAGTCTAATTTGCCGAATTCGCCATTTCTTCTATGCATGCTGTACATAATTGGGCCAAGCAACGTGCATACTTGGTATAAGTCTTCGCTAGAATGCATGGCAGCGGCGTAGAAAGGCCAAGGACTCTTGTGCTGCTCAAAAGGGCTGCTGATCCAAGACAGCTAATCACCGCACGCTTGTCACACAATCGACGACGACAGCTCCTCGGGCGCGGGGGGTACTGCTGGGTCCTGCCATGTAAACAAGTTTCATGTTTCAGGACCAGCAGCGGGTAGGATGGGGCGACTATCATGTTTCACACCGTCGTCTAGAAATGCTTGGGAGTTCGTGCAAGTACTTACACCTACGTAAGCGCGCTGGAGACTATCCGCTTTAACTAGCGTGTGGCGGTTTAGTATATAGTTAGCTACGTTACATAGGTAGAGTATAAATATGTAGAAACTTAGATGCCCTCTTCCACAGATGCTATGGGCACGTCTTGTCTCAGCCGCACCCCGCCACCCGGCTTCGCTACGCGTCTCCGTAACCTAATCTTACGCCTGGGACAAGTCTGACTGAGTGCTGAGTGACGGCATCCGCTCGGCACGGCACGCTGAGACACACAAGACCGCTGTCTATTCCTGACCGCGTCATTATTATCTCGGGAGGCAGCGGATTCCCCGTCTGCCAGAGTGGCGGGGCAGCAAGCCGTTGGGGGTGTCAAGAGTGGTTGCGGGAGGGATAGGTTTATTGCTGCAGGTTTGTACTACACATGTAGTTATACATCTGGAACGTACATGTACTGGCTGGCTGGCATACATCAAGGTGCACGTGAGTACAACTCAGCGATCTAGCCTTTTGGTCTCGATCGGCAAACCTGCGTGGTGTCACTTTGGCATGTTTGGCGAAACCTTGCGAGAATGTCAGCGTCATTGTACATTATCAGGATGAGGGATATGAAGCATAGTGGCGGTGGTATGAGAATGGCATAAGCGACATTGCGTGCCGGGTCTCTCTGCAATGCGAGTCGGAAAGCGGAGAAGCACATGGTCGAGTGTCTCGAATAGCGATGCAAGTTCGCCACTTTGGACATTTTGCCGGTAATCAACCTTGTGTTACACTCCAACAAGATGAAGACATACATCTCTTCCTATTGCAACGGTTGGACGATCAGAGATTCCAACGGTGGTGCATATGTTGTATGCACCCCGCAAAAACCTCAGGTGCGGTAGTTGGCCTTGGGGTCTAGGCTTACTGATGGTACCTTGCATCCTCGGGTTTGGTTGGGTCTTACTGTTCCCCACATCTCAAACCACCCCATGATCCCCGATCTTCTCCGCTCCCGCTGCTATTGACGCCTTGACGTTTCCCTCAGTCGCACACACACACGCACGTACACCCACTAACAAAAGAAGACGACGAAGATGCATGACGAACGCAAGTTTTCTCGATTCCCACCACCATGGCGTGAAAGAAGCTGACGTATCCAACCGACACAGACCCCCACCCCCTCCTCGCCCAAGTCCCCCTCACCGTCTCGCCATTCATCTCGCTGCCCACAGCCACACCTCTCCCTTACTCATACAAGTCACTTCCCTCGACTCTGCCGCCAAGTATCCTCTCGCAGCAGCAACAACAACAACAACAACAACAACAACAACAGCAACAAAACGAGTCGTCGCCTTCACATCATCCTCACCAACAACAACAAGAAGAATCCTCAGGCGCATACGTCGTGTCTGCGTCCGGCACGTCTGCATCTCCAGACCAGATTCTCTCGTCATGCACAGCGCTACAGGCGCATTTGAAGCAACTTGAAGATGATGCGCGGAGGACTCTGGCACAGTGGGAGGGGAGGCGACGAGCAGAGGATTTGGCCGAGAAAAGAAGAGTAGCGCCGGGCTGGCTGGACAGCGGAGTCCATATCCTCAAACCAGAAGGTGTAGACGAGGACAAGGGAAAAGAGCACCAACAACAAAACCTCATGGACTTGGATCCCCAGGCCGAGCAAAAAGCAAAGCAAGGCGAAGAGTTGGACAGAGTCTTTGGCGGACTAAAGGTCTAGCTATACATCACCAATAACATCATTCTAGGGCCAGACAGACAAACAAAAAAAACAGTGGGGCTAAAATTAATACCACATTGTATCAGAGAAAAAAAAGAACAAAGTAGAAGCTATGACATGCTGTTTTAGCCCAGGTCCAGTGCCACATTTGCCCATAGCCGAAAACCCTCCCCCCATCGCAGAGCGACATTACACACATATGACAACCAAACAATTCGAAACAGAAGGGGAATCTTGCAAGGAGGAAGAATCTCGACAATCATTGCCAAACCGCCACACACCGCATATGCACCAGCCCGTGGCACTACAGCACAGGCTACAGCCTGAGCGGCTTAGCGGCGGCCGTGAGAGCGGTTGACGCTGCCTTGCAGAGCATCCACCTCGCCCTCCAGACGCTTGATCTCCGCGTGGCTGGCCTCGAGGTCCTTGTTGAGGCGGTCGCGCTCGGCAATAAGCTTCTGTTCCCATTGCCTGAAGCGCTGCTCCTCCACCTTGACCTGCTCGGTAAAGCGCTTGCGCAACGCCTCCTCCTCTTCCTTGAATTTGGGGTTGTCCAGCTTCCTTGGGCGTGCCTCGCCAAACTTCCTCGTCTCCATCTGGCCGGCGCGGTAGGCCTCGTAGTGGTTCTCCTCAGTCGTGTGGATCAGGTCGAGCATGTGGGTTCGGATGAGGATGGCGCGCAGCTTCTTGAAGTCGCAGTGCTCCTCGTTCTCGACTTCGGCAACACCCCAAGCGTATTGTCGGCCCTTGACTGTGCGGCCATCGTTGGTCTGCACGTCCTTCTCAGAGCCAATGACGGAGAAGGGCATAGCATCGATGAGGCTGCGGGCGTGCTGCATGGCGGCAGCATCGTCGTCCTCTAGCGGAGGAGTGTAGATCTTGATGCCCTGAGCATCAATCACCTGGCGTACCTAGAAGCGGTCAGCATGCATTGCAGGGGGTGCACAAGAAAAAAAAAGAAACACGTACCCTCATCTTGAACCTGGCCAGATCAGTGGGGCTCAGTGTGTCGGCCTTTGCGACAACGGGGATCAGGTTGACGCGTGTGCACAGCTTCTTCATGACCTCAATGTCGAGGGGCTTAAGCGTATGACCCGTGGGGCGGATGAAGTAGAGACAGGCGTGGACACGGAGGTCGATCTTGTCGGTACGGCGTGGTTGTTGCTCCTGGAGCATGTACGACTCGTGCTGGTCGTCGAGGAATTCGATGATGGGCTGCCACGAGTCGCGGTTGTTCACGTAGTCGCCGAATCCGGGCGTGTCGATGACGGTGAGTCGGACTGCAAAGGGTCAGCTAATGTACATAGGGGTGTAAACAAGCATTCAGAAGGAGAAGCCTACCCTTGAAGAACTTCTCCTCAAGCTCTGCCTTTGTAATTTCAATCTCGACCGTCTTGTCCATCTGCTTGTGGTGTCGTCGCTTGTGGTCGGCATAGTTCTTGATGGTGGTGGAGAAGAGGGTGTTGATGAAGGTCGTCTTTCCGAGGCCAGACTCTCCAGCAACCTAGAAGTGTGAGATGGGGATCTACGAGGCGTGTATAGGGGGTTGGTGACTTACCATGATGGTGAAAGCAGCACCACGCTTGGCAACAATCTTGTGCCTGTGCTACGTTAGACTGGGGGCTCCGTGTCCATTCGAGACAGTAGACGGTACCTCTGGTTGGGGAGCTGGCAAGAAGGTTAGTATGTAGCATGTATAGCTGGACAATGGAGATACGTACATTGGCAATGCCAATTGGGGACGCGGACTCGGCCATGGTGTGGTGGTGTCGAGAGCTGCTGAGAAAGATGCGGGATGGGTACGGGGAAAGGGTCTACAGGGACGTGTTAGTAGTCGAGTCGAGGCTTTGGCGCGAATCCAACATGGCTGCGTGCAAGCAGGATCACGATGATAGCGAGGAGAAGGAGTGAATGGGTAGGTTGCTTACATACACAAACGTGATCCAGCAACGAGCAAGCGTGTGGGCTATGTGTAGAAGAGAGAGATCGTTGTTTGTGGTGGTGGACAATTTGGGCCGACTCCCCTTTCTGCGAGAGTCGGGCGGTCGGTCAGTCGGCGGCAGGCACGCGCGCACGGGCCCACGACGGGGAATCCGCCTGACTAGCGTGTCTGCATGGAGATCCGAGCGCTGGAAAAAAGTTGTGGACTTGGAATTGTTACTACTGACGACCATTACAACAAGCACATTGCTGTACACTACACTCCAGACCATCTTGAACAACGCCATGGTCGCGCAGCCCAGCAGCCCATAGCGATCATGAAGACTGACTTCCAGGTACGTTCAGTATACATGTGCAAATTACTCTACACATTCACCTGGCTGACATAATCCCAGTTCTCCAACTTGCTAGGTACTGTCTACAGCAGAGGCAACCTTCTCTTCACCCCAGATGGTACCTGTCTGCTGTCGCCTGTAGGCAATCGCGTGACTGTCTTCGACCTCGTAAGGTATGTAGACGCACAAATATATCGGCGCATGTATCCAGCCCGCTCACGCATCCCAGCTCCAAGTCGTACACGCTTCCCTTTGCCCATCGCAAGAACATTGTTCGCCTCGCACTCAACCCCCGCGGAAATCTTCTTCTCTCCGTCGACCAGGACGGCCGCGCAGTCCTTACCAATGTCCCCCGACGCATCGTCCTCTACCACTTCTCCCTCGGCGGCGAAGTGACTGCCCTCGCCTTTTCGCCCTCGGGTCGCCATTTCGCAGTGGGCATTGGACGCCAAATCCAAGTATGGCACACGCCTTCAACACCAGATGTTGCAGAAGGCGACCTCGAGTTTGCGCCTTTTGTGCGCCACCGCGTCTACACCGGACACTATAACGCCGTCCAGAGCATAGAATGGTCGAGCGACTCGCGTTTCTTCCTCTCCGCATCCAAGGACATGACGGCTCGCATATGGAGCCTTGACCAGGAGGAGGGACATGCGCAAACCACACTGAGCGGTCACCGCCAAGAGGTCACCGGCGCATGGTTCTCAAAGGACCAGGAAACAATCTACACCGTCAGCAAGGACGGCGCCCTCTTCACATGGAAGTACATGCTACGCTACGATGCGCCAGCAGACGCTGATGAAGACGACGACGATAACCTCCAGTGGGGCATCGCAGAGCGCCACTTTTTCCACCAGAACAACGCCCACGTCACATGCGCCAGCTTCCACCCAGAGTCCAAGCTGCTCGTCACCGGCTTTTCTCACGGCATTTTCTTCATCCACGAACTGCCCGACTTCGCTCAAATCTCTAGCCTGAGCATATCGCAAAACGACATCGACTATGTCGCTATCAACAAGACGGGAGAGTGGCTCGCCTTTGGCGCATCAAAGCTGGGTCAGCTGCTCGTCTGGGAATGGCAGTCAGAATCATACGTCTTGAAGCAGCAGGGGCATTTTGACTCGATGAATACCATTGCTTATTCGCCAGACGGTCAAAGAATCATCACAGCCGCAGATGACGGCAAGATCAAGGTGTGGGATGTGAACTCAGGTTTCTGCGTCGTCACCTTTACAGAGCACATGGGTGGCGTAACAGCCTGCGAGTTTGCCAAAAAAGGCAATGTCCTGTTTACAGCCAGTCTTGACGGTTCCGTCCGCGCATGGGACTTGCATCGCTACAGAAATTTCCGCACATTCACCGCCCCCTCCAGACTTTCCTTTTCCTCGCTGGCTGTCGACCCCAGTGGAGAGGTTGTTTGCGCAGGCTCCATCGATTCCTTCGACATCCACATCTGGTCGGTTCAGACTGGCCAGCTGCTCGATCGCCTATCAGGACACGAAGGCCCTGTATCCTCTTTATCCTTCTCTCCAGATGCAGGTACACTAGTGAGTGGAAGCTGGGATAGGACCGTGCGCGTTTGGAACATCTTTGCCCGCACCCAGACCAGCGAGCCGCTACAGCTCATGACTGATATCCTCTGTGTGGCTTTCCGTCCAGACTCGAAGCAGATTGCCGTCACAACGCTCGATGGCCAGCTGACCTTTTGGAATGTCTCCGACGCTGCACAGGAGAGTGGCGTCGATGCGCGACGGGATGTGTCTGGTGGCCGTAAAATGTCAGACCGACGAACGGCAGCCAACGTCGCTGGCACAAAGGCCTTTTCATCCGTTAAGTACAGTGCAGACGGCACTTGCGTCTTGGCTGGCGGAAACAGCAAGTACATCTGCTTATATGATGTCCAGTCAGGTGCTTTGCTCAAGAAGTTTACTGTATCCGTCAATTTATCTTTGGATGGTACACAAGAGTTCTTGAATAGCAAACTCCTCACTGAAGCAGGTCCAGAGGGACTCATTGATGATCAGGGCGAAGCGTCGGATCTTGAAAACCGCCGAGACACCACCCTTCCCGGTGCTCAAAAGGGCATTGGCGCAAGGCGAACACGGCCTGAAGTGCGGGTCCCAGATGTTGCTTTTTCACCCACTGGCCGCGCTTTCTGTGCTGCTTCCACCGAGGGCCTGCTCATCTACTCGCTGGACAATACGTTCCAGTTTGATCCCTTCGACCTCGACATTGACGTCACACCAGCAACCACTCTCGACACTTTGGCACAAAAGGATTACCTCAAGGCCCTAGTAATGGCGTTCCGATTGAATGAGCGCAACCTCATCCGACGCATCTATGAAGCCATACCTGTCACTAACATTCCACTTGTAGTCAAAGAACTACCTTCTGTCTACCTTGGTCGACTACTGCGGTTCGTCGCACACCAGGCCGACGAGTCCCCACATCTGGAATTCAACTTGGTATGGATAGAATCACTTCTCAGCAAGCACGGCCGATGGATGAAAGAGCACAAGGGCGGCCTAGAAGCAGAGCTGCGAAGCGTAGAGAAGGCCGTGAGAAGGATTCAAGCCGAACTTGCCAGGTTAGCAGATGACAACATCTATCGCATCGAATATCTGCTTTCTCAACCCGTGGGTAAGAAGGATGGCACACCACTTGCTATCGACTTTGGCGTCAAGGAAATAGAAAATGGCATTGAGGATGAAGAAATGGAGGATGGAGACAGCGACGCTGGCGAGTGGTTGGGCTTTGAAGAATGATACCATTGTACGAATACGACTATTTTACGAGCAGTGCCAGATGTTCAAGGCTCTGTGTCCTTTCCTCGGCCTTCAGCCGCGGTTACCTTTCTCGAATAGCCGGGATCGCTTGCCCTTGCGACCATGCGCAACGATGTTTACCTACTACTTTGTTAAACGAATCCTCCAGCAGGAGAACGGATGACAGTTACGACTAATTACTCTTCACCACGATCACTGGTACTTTGATAGGATGCCACTTGGCTCGCGTTTGGCGTATCAATTAATGGCTTCTTAGGAAAAGAAACGAAGGCTTCACCGTAGCCTTTCAGGATAGGGTTTGGGGAAAGAATTTGCGTTTAGGGTAGCTGTTTCTACAAGGGTCGCAACAAAGGCAGCGACTTAGAGAACCGTGGATGCAGATAGGGCAGGAACAAATCAATGGATCGAATGAGGACACACAGGGCAACACCCCAACACCTCCAAGCTCGCTATTTCTCGCCCCATGCCTATCTCCTATCTCATTTCTATCGCAAGTCAGTCACTCATCTGTTGCTGGATGTCTGCCAAGCCGAAAACTTACGTCTACTGCCAATTCGCTACTGCTATTCTGGCATAAAACTCCGTTGTTTCACTGCCATCATCTTTCGTTATAGATATGGATACAGAAGCGCAGCTTGGGCTACTGCAATCGTTGGAGATGTTATGGGATGAGAAAGATACACACGAGCCTGACGCTATTGACGCCAAAGCGGATACCCCAATGCACCATTCGCTAGAGACGCTGGATGATTTATGTGCTATTAATACAGTGCGTACTGTTTCTGATACTCAGCTGGCATCACCTGTCACCAAAGTTGCTCCGGGGCTCCCATCTCCGCAACCACTTGTCGATCGTTCTGGAATTGATCTATTTCAAGCGCCACCCAAAAGGCTACGAGCTTTTTCTGAATCCAATGTAAAAGGAGCTGAGGAAGATTCCCCTTCTCAGTCAACATGGCTTCCCACTGACATCATTATACGGGATTTTGCTCGTATACAATTGGTTTCATCCCCGGACTCCAAATCTTCTTTACCAACTCCGTTTCAACTGGCTATAAGAAGGCGCAGAAGCCAACCGCTCGAACTCACCCGCCATATAATTCCTGTAGCCACCACAATCAAGCTCAAAAGTGCGACTGAGGATAAATCCGCGCATGCCACGGGACCCCCTGATCTTTCTCCCAAACATGTCGGCAAACATCCCGCTCCGTACATCATGCCGTCTCTTACGGACCTGGAAAAGATTCTATATCCCACGCTCGTCGACGCCATCCTCCTGTCCGACTACGCCGACACCTTCCCAAACCGCTGCTTCTGCTCGCTCGTCCTACACGAAATCCAGTGCAACCTACCCACCATGCGCCTCGACCTCCACGGACCCCGAAACCATCGCCACCTCCAAACACAGCTACGCTGCATACTGTCTCAAAACACCATTGTGCTCGACAAGCTCCTCCGTCTCTACGGCGACGCGTTGCGACTACATGCCCACGCACGCATGAACTCGCGACCCATGGTGCTGGACACCTGTAATGAATTCGTCGGGCTGCTAATAGAAGATGTCTTCATGCTGCCCCGGCACCCAATCTTTGATCAGATTGACGAGTTGGAGCGCCTGGAGCGCGCGGTGGAGGTTGGGCCTGACGACGAGTATTTTGTGGATAGGACTGGCATCAGGGCTGGGTTAAGGAAAAGTATGGAGAAGGGGAGGCGCAAGATTAGGGTGTTCAAGTATAAGAGGGATAAGAGGGTGGTTAGGTCTAAGGGGAGGAGGTGGGATTTTACATCCTAGATTGGGGTTTGTGGTGTTGTGGTAGAATTGGTCACGGCGTGATTACTGAAAAAATGAATAATTATTGATTTAGTCTTTTTAGTGGATGAACATCAGAAGTGTAATTGATTAGACGCGGATGAAAGCTTCATTTTTTTAGAAAAAAACTCAGTTTTAGAGTTTTTCTCCAGTCAATGACAGGTTGACGCCAGCTCTCTTTGCATTTCGTGGAAATATATCATCTTTGAATATTCACATGGTAGCCTCGATATTTTTTTACAATATGATCCTACATCTTATAATCTCTCGCCCTAACTGCACTCCTCAACCGCCTCCTTTACCATGTCTAGGTACTGTGTCTTTAGCACCGTTCCATTGCGCGATGCAAGAGCATCAAGTTTATCTACTGATTGCTTCAGGACTTGCTCAACCTTTGCCTCGAATTGCTGCGCCTCGTTCGCCATGGGCATGTCACTTCCAAGCACCTTACGAGAGGTCTTGAGCGCGTTCCAAACAATGACAAGTTCGAACAAATCATGGCAATGTTTAGTGACGAAGTCGAGGTGCGATTTAACATCCGGGAAGTCGGCAGAGGTTTTTGCTGAGCTTTCCAAGAGGCCATTGAGTGATGTCTGGAAAAAATGGTGATTAGAAGATATTCAGGTCGTTGGTGGGTGAAGAGGAAGACTTACAACGAAATCAGTCTGTTTGATTGCAGCGACCAAGCGGGTTGCCATCTTCTTAACCTCATCTTTGCCCCCGCCGTACTTCTCAGCAACAATAGCAGCCAGTTCAGTGGGTAGCGCAACAACGACAGGGTGCCCCCTCCAGTCGCCATCCTGCTCCGTCATAGCCACGGGTTTATTGCCGCAATGATCCTTATGCTCCATGAGCTCCACAACCTGCTTCGCCATCTTGAGCGCCTTTGTCGTCTCTTCCTGGTCCCAGTCGACTATTGCAGCCCTGCTGTGCACACTTCTCAAGACTTGGGTCAACACACCCCGGTTGCTCAGACGGATCCCTGTTGCCTTTGGTCTCTGCAGCGCCTTCAAGATCAGATGGTGCATATCGGCCAGAGCCAGTTTCCTGATAATCATTTCCTGCCATCGGGGCCTGGTCCTGATTCCCGCTTCCACGAATCCCTCGAGACATCGAAGTACATTTTCCCAGTCTTCCTGCGTTTCGCTCTTCTCCACTACACCACGGAGTGTCTGCCAGCGATCGGGTAGCTTGTTACGGTCCAGGTGCTCGAGGGGAAGAGTGACATCTCCCAGGGTAATCTCCACAGGCTCGGCTTCGAGTTTGGGGCGGGACTCTTGAGAGTAGACGAGTTTTTGTTGCTCTTTTGTCAGATGATATGGGAGCAGAACCTTTGAATTGAAGGTCGATAGGAGGGTAGAGAGCTCAGGAGAAGAGGGCGGGAGAAAGTTTGGGAGGGCGCCTGTATCGAGTCAATGTCTGGGCGAATAGTGCTTGTTGGGTTGGAAGAGGATGCGGACCTCTTGAGTGGGTGGGACTCTGTGAGAAGGCCCGTCTCGAGCCATTGGCATATATACAAGCATATCGCGGATTCTGGAGTGCCAATTGGCAGCTCCGCCGTATTGACTGCATCTTGTCGTGGGCGAGAACTGCGGCCGTCGCATGCGCTCATCACAGTTCCAAAAATCATCGGCAAACGCGTCAAACATGCCAAGACTTTTCGGCGAATTGTTCCCACCTCCACCCGCCTCAAGCCACTCCCTCCAGCCTCAGGCGATCTACACAGCCACATCGGAGTCCCCTCTTTTTCCAGAGAGCGACCATGTTGGCGGCAAAGAGGAGAAACCGCCACAGCTGGTTCTCCTCACGAGCTAAAAAGACGCCCGAAATGGACAACGAGCAAGCCACCTTTTGGCTGAGCCAGTTCATTGGAAAGAACCTGCGCATACACGCGAGCGATGGCCGCGTCTTCGGGGGTCAAATGAAATGCACGGACAAGGTGGGCAGCTCACATTGGCTGTGACTGTGTATCACAGCGGCTTTTAACATCCATCAGGACCGCAACATTATTCTCGCGCTGGCACATGAGTACCGGGCTCCTTCGGCAGAGGCCATTCGCAAGGCTGTTGAAGAGTCGGGTAACCAATCTGCGTCTGTGGCCTGGAACAGCCGCTTTGTTGGACTAATTGTTGTGCCGGGGCAGCATATCAAGAAAATTGAATTCGAGGAGAATATGCTGCCGGGACAGAAGAGTACGGTGGTTTTATGATACGCATCTTCTTTCTTGCGATTTGGATTGGACCTTTACCTCTCCGCGTACACGAACAGTATATGTAGCGCGCATCACAGGAGCAGGGCATTCCATATTAGTAAGTATCGCTCTGAGTGGCACACTCTGGTTTTGCTGACCTTTGGTTTGCAGGTGTGACAATAGCAACTGTGAATGTGGCCCAATACTACGTACTTGGTAGCGAGATACCCTCACCATTCACCGGCCAATGCCCACAATGCTGAATATAATACATGTTTCCCTATTTCTGAGACAATGATAAACTTCTATTTAAAGTGAACTTGGTCTCCCTCAACACCAGTGAATACTTATTGAGTCCTCTCACTCCCCACCCCACCACCACCATCAAGCATCCCAGCGCACCAGCAATATCTAGTAACACCAGCAATACAACAGTGATAGCAAAGATGCCCGTCCAATCTCCTCCATCAGAACAGCGATCTCATTCCGATGAAGCGACACGCCCTCAAGACGCTTGTGACCCCTCTCACCCACACGGGCCCTCTTTCCAGAACCCCACGAAGATAGGCAAATTCCGATCAAAAGCCAAAAAGCATCATCTCAAGCTCCTTGGTCCAGTCAAAGTCAGCCCCACTAATACACCATCTACTACATCATCCACGGAAATCGCATTCCTCCTTCGTCTTCCGGGAGAAATTCGCAATCTCATCTACTCTTACGCTCTAACTTCGCCTACCTCGTCACTCATCTACAACGCATCGGAAATGCGTTTCCCACTTCATGACATCGGATTCGGTCTCATGTCATCGTGCCATGTGTTGGCGCTTGAGACACAGTATCTGCATTTTAAGCTGAGTAGATTGGTTTTCGTAGTCAACCAAGGCACTATTGGGAATATTTGGGACTATATTACTGTCATGAAGAACCTGGGCCGGCTAGCTGATGCAAAGGGTTGGACGATACACGTGGAGTTCAGATTCTCAGATGCAAGCATAATTTTGCGAGTTAGATCATCTAGCGTGGATGTACAGGAGTATGTTCGTGTTATTCCATAGATGATATCAAATAAGACGAATCAGTATGCATCTGAGGTCATGTAACAAGCTTGGACTTCCGCCAAGCTCCTGCTCCCAACAATAGGGTATGATAATTCCCGACACTCTGTTTGCTTGGATTCAATTTCCGCTGCAAGAGCTAGAGTGCAGTCTCGAAACACACATCAAATACTTCACAGCGATCATTTGCTTAAAAAGTCGACAGTAGGTACAGGCTTTCCGTCCTCCAAACTATTGGAACAACCGACTGGAGGAGTTTTACCCTGAATTAGAACTTCCTAGCTTCATAATATATGTGTACCTAAAGTATACCTTGATGTGCAGGGATCGCGGCAATTTTCGAGTTTTTGTTCTTTGCTCTAGCCGCCTCCGCGGAGGGTATCGTCGATGCATGTATGGCTACCTCCCAGAGGATTTGCAACTAAGGGTAAGGGATGATCCACTGAAAACACTGCATACCATGAGCGACTCTATCAAAACATTACTAGTCCCTATGTGTACACGATAGGCGTTGCGAACTTGTAGGCGAGGACCAGTGTAACTGGTCAGCCGCATCCACGCCGCAACGCCGCATCCACCACGGCTCTTTTTTCCCTTCCACCATAGTTCCTGCTCCACAATTCTTTCTTCCTACTCACACCATCGCGAGTCATTCCATTGCTAAGCGAGGGTCGCGTGGACTGCTTCCAAGTTTCCGCCCGTTTATCATGTTCCGCGGACGCTGAGCAGTAATTGGAGGGGCAGCTCACGTAGTACAAGCTCCCCTTCTTTTGGCTGCCCTTTGTGTTGGGAGAGGAGCTTTTGTATGCAGTCCAGAGAAAGCTGTGAATGGGTAACCCGACTGATTTTTACACACACACTATCCAGCGGCGCATCCGACCCCTGATATAGAATCCTTTGCCAAGTTACTATCTACTGCATCCATCCCCATTGAGGGCTTGGAGCATTGAACGTCGGACCTCTGAAGTCATATGTGCATCCCCGGAAATGAAGCCTCATATAGGATCGCAGTGTGAGCCAGCCAGCCCTGATTCTATCAGTATACTACTCACACGCCTTACCAGAGCTTCAGAAACATGCCTGATCCCAGTGCGATACTCATCGAATGTCGGGTCGAGTATGCCATTGGGAGTGCCATTATTCTGTTGCGGTTCTTTGCAAGATGGAAAATTGCAGGACGGCGAGGTTTTTACTGGGATGATTTCTTTGCATTCTCATCTTGGGTGTTCTTTACCATGATTTATGCAATGGTAGAGTTTCTCAGTAAGTTTGCGATAATGAAAAATGTCTTTGCATATAGATATCGAACTGACCCTCCCAGATGTAACTGGAGCTCCGATAGCAATGACACAGGAGCAGCGCGAAGCACTCCCGCCTGCAACGCGCAAGTCCATGCGAGAAGGTGCAAAGGCGATGTTTGCGTCTTTTTACTTCCTGATCTTCCTCGTATGGAGTCTCAAGGGCTGCATCATCATTCTATTCCTCCGTTTCACGTAAGTTCCAAGGTCTAGAAGAAGCAACCCATGCTTACAACAATATGCAGTAGGAACACTCCTCTTTATCGATATGTACAGGCCGTTGGAGGTATATCAGTTGCAGCATGCATCGCTGCAATTATCACGCAGACTACGCATTGTTTGCCGTTGAAAAGGAACTGGCAAATACTTCCTGACCCTGGCAAGGAATGCTCGGCTGGTGTTGTCATCAACATCGTCATTGCAGTAGGCAATGTCTTGTAGGTGATTTCTTCAAATCGTATAAGAAATAACTAACACAAGGGTAGAGTTGATGCATTGTTGCTTGTAGTACCTCTTTGGATGCTCAAAGACTCACACATCAGACTTTGGCGGTGAGTTATTGCGGGTTCGTATCAGAAGTAAATTTTCCCTAGCTGACTTCTACTGATAGAAAAATACGAATCGTTTTCCTACTCTCCCTCGGACTGTTTGTCATGGGAATGGCTACAGCCCGTTGCATCTTGTCAATTGGAACTTCTGTTCAAGTAGCTCTCGCCTCAGTATGGGCGCAGCGTGAGGCTGTAAGTTCAAACAGCTTCTTACGGCTGATATCGAGCTATTCTGACGTCTCACCAAAGATTGTATCAATTTTCGCTGTCAACGCACCAGTAATAAATGGTCTGTTTAGAGCAGAGACCTGGGCAACGAGAAAATGCACAAGCGATTACTCATCGAAGAACTCTCGCACCTATTCAAACCCGTTACACAAGAAGAAGAAAAGCGGCTTCGAGATTTACAGGATGACGGATTTTGAGACTAAGATGAGTGACATGGAGGCTACCAGGGCAGAAAGCATTGTCGAGTTGGTTACAGACCCGTCAGTTGCTTCATCTGCGTCGCAGTGGCGCTGCTCTGTCGAAGCGGCAAGTCAAAAAGGACATCAGAGACGCGCGATTTGAGTAAATGAAGGGATCGAAATAACATGAATGCCTCCGAATCTCTAACATGCAATCAGTGGTTTCAATTTTTTTCAAGACTGAGTCGCTACAGCTACTACTAGAGTTCATATTCGAGCTGTCCGCTGAACGCTGAAAACTAAAGTCAGCCCTCCGGACTCATCTCCAATAAGTCAGTTTGACATGATTGTAGCAAAAAGACAATGGATAGATATGAAAAGTCTAGTAGCAGAATGCACAACTATGGGTTCGCTCCTAAAGCACCCAAATGCTGCGTGAAACGGTCCAGAATATCAGAGCCTGCAAGATAGGATAAATCACCAGCAGGGGGTAACCTTTCTGCACGAGTCATCAACCCCCATCAAATACAACATACGCGAAGGAATACTCCCTTGTGTCTGCTCCACAATTGCCAAGGCTATAGTCTTGCACGCCACATGCGACTGCATTCGAGGAGGGTAGTAGTGTCTTCAATAGCTCTGGCCCGTTACAGCCGCGGAAGTGAACCATAAATATTCCCAAGCAACCCGCCTTGCCTGCCTGTTTGTACCACATATATGTATTTTTTGAGCGAACTCATACAATTGATACCAACTACCATGCGAGTGCCAGACTATTCCAAGAACGTGATACAGTCTTTGGACTCCATCCGACCCACACAGTTTGCAGACGATGCAGAGCGGTATGAAGCCAAAGAAGCCGCAAGACGCTTACTCAATCGTCTCGAGACTCCATTCGAGCAAGGTTGGAGGCTTTCACTAGAGACACCTGTGCTTATCGCTGGTATTCAGGTTGCTCTTGACCTGGGCATTTGGAAGAAATGGACCGAGGCGGATAAAAAGAAGCCAGGTGCGGCTGTTGATTTGGAGCAATTGTTGAAGTGGGCCAACAAGCAGGTTGAGCCGAACTTGTTGCGTAGGTCTACATTTTCAAGCCTGAGTAAGCGATCAATAAGACTGTACAAAATACTGACATGGAACCACGAAGGGAGGTTTTTCAGACACCTTGCTGCACTCTATGTGCTCGAAGAAACGGGTGTTGATACCTGGAAACCAACGCCTTACTCACTGTCCCTTGGAGATACGGAATCGCATACTGATCAAATTACTCAATGCGGGTATGTCCAAACCTCAACAGTCATGTTTGATCAATTGATAGCCTCCCAACTGACGCGTTCAGCACCGACCATACGATTCCCACCGGGATCAATCTTCCCCGATTCCTCCAAAAATACAATTACCGTGAACCCATAGACTTGCAGGCTCTCGACAACTACCGCGACATGACCAACGGTACCGATTTCTTCGCTCTGTGCGCAGCAGATCCAGAGGGCAAAGGAAGCAGTTTCATGGGTCTCATGACAGCACTGCGAAACCACAAGATGGCGTGGACCGGCGTATACGACACGCGCAAAATCATCTGCGGAGCCGACATCTCGCCAGGCAAGCCTTTATTCGTTGACATTGGGGGTGCCCACGGCCTCGACACATCACGCCTTCTGGAACGACATGGCGATCTCCCCGCCAACGTGCTCATCGTGCAAGATACGCCCGAAGTCGTCGCCATGCCAATCGAGCATCTCGACCCGCGTATCGTAAAACAAGCCTACGACTTCTTCACCCCACAGCCCCAACTTCACGCCCGTGCATACTTTTTTCACTCAGTTCCGCATGACTGGCCCGACGCCGACTGCGTGCGCATGTTTTCGCAGGTCAAGACCGCGTTTAAACCGGGGTACTCGAAGCTTCTAATCTATGAAGTTGTGTTGCCGAAGAAGGGGGCGACGAGTCTGATGACGACGTTGGATTTGCAGTTGATGAATTGTACAAGTGGAATGGAGAGGACGGAGGAGCACTGGGAGCGGTTGCTGGGCGAGGCTGGGTTTAGGATTGTGGGAATTAGTCGGCATCCTCGGGCTGTGGAGAGTGTTATTGAAGCGGATTTGATGTGAGATATGGAGAAGCTGGGATGGGGAAGGGCTTCATTTAAGGGTTGGCCTTTTCGTCCTTCGCTGTTTTGTATGGTGCGCATCAATTTCAGATCCTTGATTAATCTAGCCTTGACATGGCATTTGTTCAAGCGATTTAATAAGAGGTTCGCCAGAGTCCGGGTCGCTCAGTTCTCTAGGTGGTGAGGTTAGAAAGCTGCCCATATAAAAAGAAATCAATAAAACATCTACATTGAAAACCACGCCGTTGTGTGAAGTAGCGAGATCTGGATTAACAAAAAAGATCAAAAAGAAGGGATTGATGATTGCATCGGCCGGGAATCTAATTGAATGTTAGGCACAAGCTTCGAATGCTGGAATGAATATGAGACTTACCGAACCCGGGGCTAGCCGAAACTGTTCTCTGGGAGAGATGGCAACGGCTAATTTTACCACTAAACCACCGATGCTAGTGTTGTGATTTGATGACGGTATTTTCAACATGAGCCTTTATGATGCAGTCGAAAAACACCGAGTGGGCGGCATAGGCATGTTTGTTATGTTCGCAATTGGGATTGCAGAGCGGGGATGTGTTGCAAATTTGCTCGCTTAGACGCACATCAAGTAGCTTGACTGTTGTGAGGTTAGCGAAAAGTATTTCTGGGTGCCAGGGTAGAGTAGTTCCCGCTGAGAGCCACTGAGCGGTCGAATACGTGGGTTTCTAATACACGGAATGGGGCTAGCTGAGCGGAGCTTCAAGACCATGATGCTTGAAGTGCAACAAATGGTCGTATGCTCTTGCAGGTCCATCTGACTCGATGCCTGCCATATTTACATGGGTACGGTCAGTATCCAAGTCATGGAGTATTATTGATAGGGATTAGACGTCAGATGGGGTGAGGTTGCTACTCAACATTGGAGTCTAGGGACTAACAGTGATCACATGCTTCGAGAGACTTATTGCGCGGATTCACGTTTGCAGTCCCATTGGATTGCCTGCTTTTCAGAGGTAATGCCAGAGATTGCCCACCGTATCAACTACGCCGTACTGCCCATGCACGTATACATTCATGAAGACTTGAGGTGATACGACGTATGGTAGATACTTTCCTTTTCATTTTGGTCGTCGATTGAGCAAGACAAAAAATGCAAGATAGTCTTAGTAGTAGGAATACATTGGATCAGATTGACTAAAACAAGCAAAGGAGGAATTGTGAACTGTCAAGGTAAGAGAGCAAAGCCAGAGTCGCGTTGCGAATAGAGTTGTACTAGCGCGCGTCCTCAAATAGACACGCTAGTAGATATGGGTGAGTGCTCCACTTCACCTTTGTCCTACTACAACCAACCCCTTCCATCAATACCACAATTGTTGCGCGATTGAGTTGTGAGAGTTATATTTATATTTTACTGATTTTGATTGCTTTACGTGCATCATCAGCGCTACAGAAACCGTCCAAGATGCCGCCCAAGAGTAAGAAGACGCGTGACACGAGTCTCAAGGGCGCGGTAGAAGCAGTGGAAACTCTCATCGCGACGCCTGGAAAGAAGAGAGGCCGCCCAGCCAAATCCCAGACAATTGCTAGTCAATCAACCCCAATTGCAGCCGGGCCTCCAAAGAAACGCGGTAGACCCTCCAAAGTGACGGCTGAAGATGTCGCCGTGCTCCCAGACGCGTCCGAGCCCACAAAACGCGGTCGGGGTCGCAAGCCAGACACGCCCAAGTCGGTTGCTCTAGCCGCAACGCCCAATAAGGCCAAAGGAAAAGGTACTAAGGACAATGTAGAAGCCGTCGCCGATTTGGCAGCACCGACTCCACGAAGGCGTGGCCGTCCTCCCAAAGCAGACGGCCTGGACCTGAAGCGTGTTGCGGGCACTGCTCGTGTGAGCAAGCGCCAGGCCGCTCAGTCCAAGATGACCAAGACAACAACCACCACCGCCACCAAATTGCGTACCCGTCTTCCACCAGCTAGCAAGGTATCCAAAGGAGAGCCTGCCCCACAACCAGCAAGGCGAGGGCGACCACCCAAGAATGCAGCACAGGCCCCTGCTGGTGCTGCTCTTGCGAAGAAGAAGAAGACACCCAGAGGTCGCAAGCCTGCTGAGGTGCCAATCGCAAAGCCTACAAAATCTACCAAGCCTTTGGCGCCCCGCAAGATGCGTGGTCACACTGTACGCCAGATCCCCGACAGATACATTGTCCAAGTCGACCAGCTCTTGCATGACCTGATGCAGGCCGACGCAGATGCCGCGACTGAGAAGCAGGTACAGGAAGAGGAGGCAAACCAGGCACATGACGTGGAGGTTGAGGCTGATGTGGAGGACAACATCGATGAAGAGAACGTGGAGCCAACTAGCGCCACCGTTGGCTCAGAAGAGGCTGCACTAGACGCCGGTGCTGGATCCGAGTCAGGTCATCAGCAAGATAGTCTAGGCGACCAGTACTCGGATGGCGTGATGGATGACTTGGGGCAAAGTGAACCTGCCTCGGACCAAAACAGGGAACAGGAGCCAGAATTGCAGTCCGAGTTGAATGGCGACTTTGATGATCCTCCCAGCCACGAGGACGAAGATGGCATCCTTGTTCCCCAACAGGAACTTGATATGCAAGATGAGGGGTATGCAAATGGTGTCGAAGACGGACAATTACCATGATCCACAAAGGGTCAACAAAATTAGCCCATGAAAGCCCAGTGCTGTGTTTCCACCGTCTTGGCGGGATAGTGGATTTAGCCTCTTGCCATTTAGCACTTGATCTACATACATACATTTACATCGAGCCTCTTTCCGTAGGTGTAGGGAGGCAGCCTTGCGGTCGGGCACTAAGCCTGCGACCGGTTCTCTTAATTTCTTTCTAGTACATGCGCGTGGCAAGCATGCCTCAAACCACATGCTCAGGTTTTCTTTGTACGTACCATGAGTTGTTGCAAAGCTCAACACGTGCACCACGTTGAGACGACGCACCCTACTGCGGCCAATAGAACACCCAAAAACGGTGCCCTGTTCCTGACGCCAATTGCAGCGAAAAAGCACCCGAATGCTTTCTTTTGTCCAAACCCTTGTCTCACTTGGAGCATGAGAGGGGCGGGAAATAGGCAAATTACAGTTTCACTCCGTCTTTTGCTTCTGCCTTGGAGATGAGTTGGCTGTCAGCGCAAAATACCACCGTCTCCCCTCCGTCGCATCACTTTTATCGCTCCCACACCTGCCAAGGCGGTTGCACACTGGCGTCGTCTGGAAGTGACATCGGCTCCCATGGCCCGAAGCGGTGTCTCCCGCAACACAAACGCCTCCCACTCTACTTAGAGTGCTTTCACAAGCACGCGGATTTGCCGGGTAATATGAGCGATCTTGGGCGTAACTTTACAAGCTGACGTCGTGTCTTTGACTGGTCGCTCTGGCATTGCTCCACCGAAGTGGTGCGGGTCGATCCCGGTCTGCTCAAACTGGGCTGGCGGCATATCCGCTTGTATCTGCTCGTTCCCGTTTAGGCTTCACGAAAAGCACAAGAAGCCAATTGAAACCAGAAAAAGCAAGCCACCACTTGGCGGTGCTCGGTCAGTGGTAGGCTTCTTCCGGTTCGCCCGCATTTGATCAGCGGGGTGCAGCATCGCCGTGGCCACTCCCCATTGATCTACCCGCACTTGGCATCACTATCTCAACAGCCCGACCTACTAAGCGTCACGTCGACCCGCTTACTCTGCATGCGATCGCTCGCCCTCCTCGAAACGCCGACATGGTGTCGTCTTTGGCTGTTTATGACGAGCTGAAATCACCGTCGTGGCTTACCCCACTTCTCAAGTCGCCGACAATCCTGCTGAACAAGTCCTCCATTAGATGCGCCATCGCGAGCTGCTGCATGTGCTTTCCTCGAAAAAGAAAGGCCAGTCGAACTCCAGCTGGGATGGTTGCTCTATTTCGCCAAATGCACTGGGCTTATTGCGTCACCTATGCGTGTTGCTCTTTGCTTGCAGTCAACCTCGAGCAGTCCATGTGTCAGATGATAGGCTTGCTATTCTCGTAGAAAGTGTCAATGTGCCATTTGAAAGCTATCGAATCAGCTAATTCATTGCCCCTTCACTTCCGCCACAGACAGCATAAGTATCGCCAGCCGCTCGTATTTTCCACTTCCTAAACTTCAACCACTTTTTTTCCATTTCATCTTTTCTTGCATTTCATAGCCACCATGACCGACATGTTCCCAGTCGAAAACGATATGACGCCTGAGAAGCTCACTGTCATGAAGCTCAAGGCCAGCGGGCTTGGCCGAGATATCATGTCGGAGCCCTCATCCCCTACCGGCAACCGATCCTTCTCTTTTGCATCCCAGGCCAATGGCCATATGGGAACGCTAACCACCCGTCGATCAAATCGCCAGCTCAATAGCTCCTCTCGTCGTACCAGTAGCTTTCTCCAGTCACATCGTAGCAAGATGTCTAGCGAGCTTACTACTCAGGCGGATGGGAAGGTCTTCGCTCTGATGGATCTCATTTCAAATGCTTCTCGCGAAGCTGCCTCGCTCAAAGAGTCATGGGCACGCATCCTCTCAGAGCGTGACACTCTATTACGCGAGCGAGACGAGCTTATGGTCACGGTTGAGGAGGTGACTGAGGAGATTCAGCGCAAGGAAGCCGAGCACTCACAACACGGCCACGAGCATGGAGAGAGGAAGAGGCAGGTCGAGAAGCTTATTCTTGAGCTCACAGCTGTCGTCGCACAAGTTTCGGAACATAAAAAGAAACTTGCGGATCGCGACCGTGCACTGGAGCTGACCCGCCATGAGCTTCACGAGCTCCAAGCCTCTGTCGCACTCACGGTCGGCGAACACGAGAGGACTCGTTCCGAGCTGGAAGCCACATATGCAAGACTCAAGATCTGCGAGAGTGAGCGCGACGTTGCCCGCCATGACTCGGAAAAGCATCACAATGAAATTCGCGCACTTGTTCGTGAGCACACCGAGCTTAAAAGCAAGCACTCAGAAACCATCTCCAAGTTCGACCTGACCCGCAAGGAACTCATCACTATCAATGAGCGTATCAAGTTGTTCGAACTTGAGCGGGACGAACACCTTCATGACAAAGACCGCTTGAATGAGGAACTGAAGCGTGCCAAGTTCAGGATCGAGGAGGCAACTCGCGAATTCACTGAACTCACTGAGAGCCACGACCGCGTTCAGCGAGAGCTTCATAAGCTCAAGGAAACCCTTCGGTCTGTCGAAGCAGAGCGTGACGACTTTTCCTTCACTATTGAGAACTTGCGTCGCGACGTCAAGCTCAAGGTTGCTGGGTGGGAGGAAGCTGATGCTCGTGCCAATGAGTACTTGCTCAAGCACGAACACGTCAAGCGTGAAGTTGTCTCTGTCAAAGAGAAGCTCCGAGAGATCGAGCTGGAGCGTACCGAACTCTCCAGTGTTATTGATCGTTCCCGTGAGGAGCAACGTCTTATCGTCATTGAACGCGAGCAACTCAAGCAAGATGTCCACGACGAGCATCGCAAGGTCGAAGATGGTCGCCGCCGTATCAATATCCTCGAAGAGTCTCTTCGCCGGTCTGAGCTCGCCACCGCTGAGATCAAGTCCGAGATCCTTACCCTAACTGAACGCAACCGAGTCCTATACCGCGAGGGCGAAGACTCCCGCATCAAGCAAGGACATCTTACGACTGAGATTGCCAGTCTCCAGGAACAGTTGGCCCTCTTCCAAACCGAGATTACCAACCTCAAGTACGATCGTGATCGCGCACACTCCGACCTCAATGCCTGGAAGCACAAGTATGAAGAGATTACCGAGACAGTCACATCCTACGAGGACTCTTCTGCAGAGTTTGAGTTCGAAATCACCTCTTTGCGCACATTGTTGAGCGAGGCTCGCGAGCAAAAGGAGCGTGCCATCCAGGCCCGCCACGCCGCCGACCGCGAGCGCGACGAGTACATTGCCAAGTACGAGGAAAAGTGCCGCGAAATGGAACGCTTCGAGGAAAACGCCAGCAGCATGTACCACGCCCACAGCAATGCCAACGGTAGCCGTATGGGCAAGACGACAACTCACACACGGGTTGTCTCTGGCGGCACCACCATCCACAATCATGATGCGAGTAGCGGCCACGCCCACGCCCACGAGCACGGAGAAGGGAATTCTCTGTTCGCCTAAAGAAACGAACAGCAAGACCGAGGTCAATCCTGACATTGACGAATTTGGGTTTCATAGCTTTAAGCATTGGCAGCGCTCGAGTGAGGAGATCAGCATGCGGAATGGGGTTTTTGAGATTTCAGGCCCGCCGCCATCGCCATCGCCATCGCCGTCACCGTCGCCGCCGCTACTACTGCAGCCACCACCGTCATCATCAACATCACCACCACCACTACCGCCGCCGCCGCGACGAGCGCGACCGCTTTATCATCTCAGAAACTCCACCGTGGTTGCGAACGAAGTAGAGGCGGGAGAGGTGGAGTATTGGGCGTATTTTGAGGATGGATGGATGAGATTGGACGCTTGGTAGCAGGGTATTGGCGTTACCATGGCAGGTTACCTGGTAATAATTCATTCATAGTTTACTGAATCTTCTTTCTTTATATGCTGTGTTCGTCTCATCGTATATGGATATGCGACTGTGGTGCTGTACCAAGTGATGCTGTGAACAAGCCTTGTGCAGTATACTGATTGAAATTTTGTCGTGATAATTTGCTCTGCAAACGTCCGCGGTTTCTGCTAATAAGACATCGTTTACAGTCCAGGGTAACGCGGAAATATTATTAAGGTTTGCTGGACGTGTACCCGGGGTTCCGATGGTTCTAGGCGGATCGTTTCATGCGCGAGGAGTTTCCCGCCAACAACTATAAATAGTATCCAAGCATGTCACTATTCGAAATTCGTTATTATGCAGTTGCCCTGCTAGAGTTGCAAAATGCAAATCGTTTGAGTTGAAGTCATGACATCGTGTGTTCATCGATCATTTCGGCTTGATAAGGTAAACTCTGGTAATCGTATTCTGGACGTGTATGCGCAATCGATCGTCAATTGTTAACCGTGATCTGTTAATTGTCAATCGTCAAATGCTAAATGATAAACGTCACATTCTTGATATCTCGCCATAGTTAGTAGTGATTTCAGACTACAAGCATATCACTGAACGAAATAACCAGTATGCAAGGTTGGGTGTAATGATGCTCCTAATTTGATCTAGACTTACCCCTTGATAACGCTGACATACCTAACACATCAGAACTGCATTGGATAATGACAATCTTGAATGAGGCCTATTACATACCTTGGCAATTCAACCAAGTCTACTAGGAAGGGGGACTGCCAATAAATGTCATACCATGTGGCTGATTCGAGACATCTATAGTCCTAATGAAATGTTGTTCACCGACTGTTTACTACCTCGAGCGTAAAAGCGCATCTCAGCACTAAGCAACGGGCCGAAAGAAGTTTGACCGTTGCAATCTACGGCTGACAACTGGGCCGAGCCGGGACCGTTGAGCTGATCGTGCGCGACGGAAGGAAGATGTCCACAGCCGTTGCGTTTTTTTCCTGTTATTCGGTATAAATGGCACGTGTGCCTTGGCTTGAGGTGATCCGTACGGCAATCGGTCTCCTTACGCTCCACGATCGCAATAATGGCTCCTCTTACACTCGCCCTAGGTGTCCTCGCAGGGCTTACACCCCTTATCCTCGCAAGCCCCGGCTGTGGTAGTTCGTTGCCGGTCAAGTTCAAGCCTGGTACTTCAACCACCAATGTGACTATTTCGTCCAAGTCAGTCATTGGCAAAATAACGGAACGGGAATACATTCTGCATTTACCTGCCGATTATGATCCCTCCAATAATAAGCCGGCGCCTCTGATCTTTGCTTTCCACGGCCAGTTGCAGCCTGCGCGGAATATGGAGAAGATCAGCCAGTTGTCAGACCCGAACTTCAACAAGGATTCTATTGTCGTATACCCTGCCGGCATGGACGTCCAAGCCCCGGGTGTAAGTTAATCATGTTCAGTACTATGTTTTGATTTGGCTAACAAAGTGATGCAGGTTCAATGGCTAGGCGACGTTGCTGCGCCCAACTCTTCGGTAATTGACGACCGCATCTTCGTCGATGAGATCCGAAAGAACCTGACAGGTACTTTTTGCGTGGATGAAAGGCGCCTCTACGCCACTGGCGTATCCAACGGAGGAAGCATGGTTGCGCTTCTCATGTGCGACGCAACCCTTAACAAGCACTTTGCTGCCGTTTCCACCGTTGGTGGCGCCTTCTACCCAGACGCCGTCATGACGGAGCCGCTCTACCAAGCAGGATGCAAACCAGACCTGCAGGGCCGAGCGCTTCCTTACTTAAACCTTCATGGTCTCAGTGACAAGATTGTTCCGTACAACGGCAACAACACCCCGCCCTTCATCCCCGTCCGTGAATGGGTCGACACATGGGTTGCACGTGACAACTGTGAAAGCAACTACGAGACCGAAGTTGCTGAGAATGGAACCGTGACAGATCTCAAGTGGAAATGCCATGGCCACAAGGATCTGGTGCTGCACAGGGAGATCAAGGGCTATGGCCATGGCTGGCCCAGCAGGGTCGAACAAGGCGAGCCGTTCGATTCAATGAGTGGCGGGTCAACCAAGTGGGATGCTGCACCATATATTCTCAATTGGTTTAGCAAATGGGCTATCTACTAGGCGGCGAAGCGCCGGACCTGTAGGACATATTCATTGTTAAATATTCATCTATTAAATACGAGTACAAGAAGTCATGGCAATAATTGGGAGCATTATACAGAAGATTAATATCGTCCCAGTCTATGCTTTTAGATGCTTTTTGATATGCATACATTATTATGGATTCTTCAACACGATAGGTTCAGGTGGCAGTATTGTACCTGAGTTTACTTTTTGTTGACGCTCGGATGTTTTTTCTTTTGAAACCCCCCTAAACCTCAATCTACCAAGAATCGTTGTGAATCCCGATCTGGCGTCGGCACAATGTTGTAGTTGAGCCGTTGGATGTAGTAGTCATCCTCAAGCTCATGCGCTTGAGGCCGGCGTTTTATTTGCCCAAGTAAAATAGGCTTCAACCCTTTCTTGAAGTTGAACATGCAAACACTGCCAGCGACTAACGAGAACAAAGAGAGTGCGCCACCTATGCAAATATAGAAAACCATCTCATCTTTCATCATCGTTCTGGATAGTGGCCCATGACCATACAAGACCAGCAATCGGCTGATGACGTAGGTGATATTAGCAGCATGGAAGAGCTTGGCCGAGTTAGTCAGATACTGATACTAAAGAGACTAGACTTACCAAGACCATGATCATGCCGATGCGGGTTTCATGTCGAACAAAGTACACGGCCAGAGCCAAGTGTAAAAGCGTGGCAGGGATGATAGCCATGGTCAAAGAGAATTCTGGCTCAATATAGTGCACATTTATCAAGCCGTAGATCAATATGAAGGCAAAGACGAAGTAGGGTGTGTACTTGAGGAAACCTAGATAGATCTGTATAACTGTCAGCAAGGGAACGATTGCGCTGATATGTAGATGCGGATACGAACTTGATAGCACATGTACTTCCACTGTATGGCCATGTCCGGACTGACGTCTTGATACAAAGCCCACGAAAATTCACGATAAAGTTTCATGGCGACAGCGCACATGACAGTGCTGCAGGTAGAGCTAATAACGGCGCAGACAATCAAACCGGGCGATACACGCCTCCAGAATTCCCAGTCTCTTTTCACAAAAGGAAGGTTCTTTCCGTTGACACCAACGGCAGCTCTCGCCGACGCATTGTGTACCTCTCCATATTGCAATATGGTTGCAATTGAAAGACACACGTTAGCGATACATAGCATAAAGATCTGAATGTGGTTTTTAATGCGGTATGCGTCTAGTGTTAAGATCAATTGATAGAGACAGCCAAGGGTGTTGATGGAGAGAGTCAAGGATATAACGTAGGCTAATGGGACCTGGGAAACTATCAGTAATGCTCGATCGACCGGTTGGGGAGTAGTACCTCGTATATTGGTTTATTGACCCATTGTAGATAGACGACCAGAATGACTCTAACATGCGCATTAGTAAGAAAAATCAAACACCTTGGTGGAGCAAGCATGTCTAAGATGTTGAAACATACATCTGAATGATAGTATTGACCACTCCTTGAGTCGCTGCAGCTGCGGCAAAGACCCATTCCAGCCGTGTTTCAGGCCACCACGACGGCATGATGCTCGTATCGCGCGATTAAAGGCCTTGTTAAATGAAGAAATCAAGTAGCAAAGAAAGATGGAAAAACATAGAAAGAAGTAAGGCGACGAAACAGCCTGCAGCCACAAAGTACGAGTACGAGGATAGCGTAGCGGGCGGCGCAGGATTGAGCCAATGTAAGTTTGCAAGAATGATAATAGAGCAAAAATGAAAAGTGCCAAAGCCGCAAAAAAGCTGTTAACACTATGGGGGATCGGCGAGGACGCCCCACAATCAAAACTTGAACACGAGATAGGAGATGGCACTAGAGGCCCGATGCGGTAACGAGGTCCCCGATGACGCGACTCTACCACGTAGTATACTTTGCCCTAGAGCGACATGGGCATGTAATTGGCAGTCAGTGCTAATTACTTTGGCTACCGATTCGCTATGCGAATTCGGTGCAGACTTGGTAGAGATGTTTTTGTACAAATGCTGTTTCGACCCAGGACCGAATGGATTCCATGTCGCTGAATTCTCGGACTCAAGCTTACATATGTACATGTGTATGTATGTACATATGTATTGACACGTTTTTTCCTTTACACTTTGGCGACTCCAGCAGCATGAAGTTAGTGCGCGTCGTCACATCGCTCTAGCGCACTCAGGTCTCCTTTCTGTGTTATCATCACTGGTGCGCGGTCCCGAAACTCTGCCACCATATCGTGCATCTGCAGGCCATGGTGTCAGTTAGGGGTTAAATTGTTATCAGAAACTGGTTGATCTTGGTCTGTTGCGTGACCCGCAAAAGAGGCGGTGCGAAAGGATGTTCTGCCGAGATATGCGGTCGCGGAAGCTCCGGCAGAGGAATGATCGACTTCGGCTAGCTGCATCTGCACGTCCCGGTAACAAGTGCGAGGCTGAGTCTTGTGTTGAGGAGCCGTTCTTTTTTGCCTACACAGTAAGTACGCCTACATGATAGAATAATGTATCATGGTGAGGCTGAGAAAGGATGTGACCCCGATATACGCAGTAAGAGGAGAGCGTCTTGCGTACTGATTAATGACAGCAAGAAGCATTCATTCTGCACTTCCAGTACCAAAGCCCCCCTTACCTACTATATCTACTTACTCACATTCTATCAGCACGTCCCACATGTCAAGCGCATCTCCCCTCCATATTGCAGATGGTGTATTGTGATGCGCGACGTGGATGGCCTTTTGAACGTTGCTGCCATCCAATCTAGACAGGGATTGGAGCATCCAACCCTCGACTCTTCCACGTGTTACAGGGCGCCTCCACTTCCATCACCACTCGGACCCAGACCCTTGCTACCAGTCGCAATGTCCTTCCTCGCCAACCCGTTCCTCCGCCCATCCAGAGCACAGAATGCCTGGTTTCTCGCTGGTTTAACGTCATCATACCCAAATCTCGATGACTCGATGCGAGTCAGCGAGCAACGGCCGTGCGGCGGAAAATTTGTACCTGGCTGTCGGGTATTTCACGTGCCTCAAGATGACAGCTCCAAAGCGACAGAGATCTCCATTGATGATTGGAAGGATCCCGATCTGGGTGGCAATGCAAAAGATCAGGTCATGGTGTTCCAGTACAAGGGAAAGTTTATTGCCGTGAACCACGTAGGTGGCAAAAGCAAAGAAAAAACTGTAACCTCGCCTATGTGTTGACCATGATATCCGCAGGAATGCCCGCACTCTTCATATCCTCTTTCCAACGGCGCACCCTTTGATATAGAGGACTTTGGAGTGGTGCTAAGCTCGGGAATTCAATGTCCTAAACATGACTGGTCCTTTGATTTGCATACGGGACGATCCGATCGTGGCAGTTACAAGCTTCAAGTTTGGGAAGTCCAACAAAGAGCTGGTGCTGACGGTGACGAAATATGGGTAAGGAGAAAGCAAAGGATTGGATGAGATACCCTCAAAGATCACAGCAAATACATGTTCATAAAGAAGCAAGATGATCAAAGATAGCGAGTTCTGAGACAAATGTCTTTTTGATTTCATGGCACATGAAGTACCCTACACTTTACAGCTTGACGCCCGTAATCTCGAACGTCTGAACGACATTCTTTCCAAAGTACGACCAGAACTTGGTTCCGTTAATGACAGTGTCGCTGTGCTTTCCATACTGTTCACCGGTACCGATCTGGGTAGCCCAGCGAGTCACTGTTGCGCCGTTCGCTGGACGCTGCGAGAAGCTCGACAAGTCAAAGTTGAGGTATTGCGCATTGCCCCAGTTGACCGCTACGATGACTAGGGTGGATTTACTGGCGTCGTATGCAGCGACGGTATAGTCACTGCCACCATCGAGAATCTGCATGCCTGGACGAATATGCCTGGCAAATTGGGCGAGGACAAAGTACTTTTGCGTTGGACCACCCACCGTCTTGGCGTCGTTGTCGGCGTCAATCAGGCCCCAGCCGCCTTGGTCGAGGACTTGCCAGTACTCCCAGGCTACGGGCTTGAGCCATCGGAAATCGAGCAGCAGGTTGCTTGCCATTTGCTGACCGGCTGCTTCACCGTCACCGTACTCGCTGTTGTAGACTGGCTTGCCGGCCTTTGCAGCCAGGTCGTGGACGGCTACACGGTCACCGTTTCCGTACTGGTAGCCATGTACGTTGACACGTGCAATCTTGGAAAGCGCGCTGCTTCCTATGTTCTTGAGGTTATCGCGGGCCTGGTCATAGTAAGACTCGTCTGATGCTGCAATCACAGTCGCCAGCGAGCGGCTTTTCAGGTGCTTGTCAAGATACCCAATAATCGTCGCCTGGGTGGCTACGTCAATGTGGCATCCCTCCTGGGTGCCATCGGCCTTCCACCAGTTGGCTGTAGGCTCATTAAATGGGTCAACAGTTTCGAACTCAATGCCCCATTTGGACTTGAAGACTTGAGCAACCGTTGCCATGTACACGGCATGCTGCTCCAGGTTCCACGATTGGATGTTTTCGGATCCATCGCTGGCTCCGGATGGGTTGTGGTTGCGTGTCATCCACCACATTGGGCTGTTGCTGAAGAGTTCGGTCTTTTCGACACCCCTCTCGATAGCCTTTTGCAGAGCCTTTCGTTGATTGACATCCACATTCCTATATTCCGACAACTAAACTTAGTGAAGCACTTCGGAAAAACTATGTAGTGTTGTCTCACCAGTTCCAGCTGGCAGAATTTGGGTCAGAGCTCGTCCAATCCAACCAGAATCCTTCCATTTGCCTCGATCTCTTGATGTTGGGTGACACGACCATCTTGTCTGTGCCGACGGTGTTCCAACTGCATGCGCCAGCGTTATAGCGAGCGTGATTGAAGCCGAGACCTGGCAGAGTAACACTACCGAATTTGGTATCCTTGAGCGTGAAGAATACATCTGCCAAATCGTCTCGGTCGCCGAATTGCTGAGCCCACCAGGCCAGCGACGTTCCCCATCCTTCCCAGGTTCCCCAGTTTGTCTTGGGGTTAATGGTAGTCGTCAGATCGGCGTTGACGCAAAGGCCGCTGGCGAGCACGAGGGCTATCTCAGTAAGAGTAGAAGCGCGCATGGTGACGGAAACCCAAAGGTACTAGAGCTGAAGGTCGGGAACATGGTGGCGCCATCGGTCACTTCTTATGGAAATACACGGCGGCACTCAATCCTAGCCACGATCTTGTTTCGAGTATAGAGGCCCGGTCTAAACCCACTTCCATCCGCTCCAAGGATATACATAAGCCCGTTGATGCGTGATGGTGTCAGGAAAGAGGGGTTGTGCTGGTGAATTTGTTCAGTTAGTACTCAGCACAAGCGGGGGGGTGTTGCACTGCCAATCATGTCGTATACGAGAAGGCCCCGAATTCATCTCCGTTACTTTCTGGAGCCAACTTTCGACGTAAATGGCTAGCGTATATGAATCACTACCATTATACGTCTTGGAGATCCATGCATCTGTGTAGTGTGACGCAATAAACTCTTCTCCTCCTGGTTATTGACATCCATAGGTCGGAATAATGAATTGCCCAATTCTTCCGCTTGCAGCACCTTCCGCCTTGGTCATGACTAGATTCGACACTTGATATCCTAAACAATGCCGATCATGACAGTAACAGGTATTGCATCCGCACTCCGAACGTTTAAATTGCAAATTGGCGTGTGGAAGCGGAAGAAGCCGAGGTTATACCGTAGTTCCCGGCTGCTGTTATCTTGGCCTACCATCATCAGGTGCAGGTGACAGGTCCAAACCATGGCACCGGAGGAATTCCCGCTGTCTTACTCCTAGTCTAACTCGCTCGAATCGGTACGTTTTCCCGACCATGCGTTCCAATGGCACGGTGCGAAAGGTGCAGATGATCATGTAGTATCATGCGCAGCCCAACTGTATTACCGACCAGATGGTAGGACTCTTGTGAGAACAACTTGAAAAACTGCAGAAGCCTGAAAGGTCTACAGATTATATTGCAATACCCTGCTCGATATACAATGCATAAAAAAATGCTACTTGTGGCAGTCATAGTCCGCGCTGACGTGTGGATGTTATTGGTGCCCACGTCGTGGTATGATCCTATTTACCTCTTACACAATAATGAAATTCCTGTCGCAGGCATTTTGCTATATTTAGAGAGGAATCTGACGAAACTTTCGAAACCAAGAAAGGCCGCAGTACCACGGGAGAACTGTCGGTTGGTCCAATAATTGTGGAAGGCAGACATAACACCATAATCTGAGTAAGCGCTATGTGAAGATGGCCGGAATGTACCTTTCATGATAAGTCATACGAACATACGTACGTAGATCACTCGTGAATAGATAGTTAACGATCCAGCGTTTCGCCATGCAATTTTTCAATGTAAGCATTGCATTAAGCAGATTGAGTTCGTATACCAGCACATTTCGTGGACTTGAAAAAAAGGTCGTTGAAGCAAGTTTTTTCTTATTAAGCCCTGTCGTATATTATGGTTACGCAATTCTCCAAACTGTTGGTACCCTCACGCGCCAAGACCAAAATCCCAGACTTGGACTTTTCGGTCGGGAAAAGGTCCGCCCTGTCTTACAAACAAGCTTAAGACGTTAAAGTTCTTAAGCCTGACCTCATCCACCAACGGTTCGCCAGCAGAGTTTGGAATGTCTGCTATCTTCTTCCAATCGTTGTAATTCGCGCCCGCAGTCGCGGCCCAGAGCTGAATTGTCATCTTTGGCTGGTCCGGGAGAATCGCAATTACACTGTCGCCAGTAGCGACAATCTTGCCGCGGTAGGCAAGGTATGGTGGCGTAGAAAGACCAGGTGCGTTGATGGCAGTCTTGGTAAATTTTCCAGCTGCTGTTCGTAGGTAATGGTAAAACTGCGGTGTGCCTGTTGAGTTATCGCGCATCAATGCATGGAAACGACCTTGACGGTCTACGAATTGCGCTTCCTGGTTGATAATTTGGCTGTTCTGCGGTATCGAGTAGACCTTGATTCCAGGTGTTGAAGGCTTAATGGGAACCACGACTGTTTGGCCGTTGGTTTGTTTCCAAGTTTTCCCAGCATCCTCTGACAAGGCAAAGTAAAAGTCGTGGTTTGTACTCGCATCAGGAGTTTCACGGACAGTCCATGAAACGAACAATTTCCCTCCTTCGCTGCTGATACCATTAACGTAGGCGTTGTTGTCCTCGCCCTGCAAGTACTTTCCCACGGCGGTCCATTTCCCAGTAGTGGTAGAATAGCGGTGGATATATGAGTCTCCCGCACCAGATTGCCCTATCCGGAACTCCATCAAGAGGTCGCCACCATCGATAGATTCGAAGCGAGGGTAAGTCAGCGGTGTCCATGGGCCAGTGGAACCTGGCAGACTGTGCTGCACAGCTCCGAATGCACTTGCAGTCCATGCAGAAGGAACAGTCTTGGCAATACCAGCGTTGCTCACACGATAATTGAGCGGAACGTCATGGTGGTCAAAACTCAAATGTATCTTTCCATCGCCGCTGATGCCCATGGAAATAGTGTTGTGCTCATCGAGTGTCGTCTGTTCGTAGTCGCTAAAGGCAAAGTACTGCCAGTCGCCAAGCGAAGGTGAAATTTTTCGCCGCCCGAGATTGACATAATGCTTGCCGTATCCAGAGGCTGTCTTGTAGAAGGCTACATACTGGTAGTCCCCAAACGTCGTCAAGGCGTGTTGTTGGAAAGCAAGACCATTGAGACGGACTGATCCCTGAACATCGTCTGTAATGTTCCAGTTCTTCACCGAGGTGACTGAAAGGGCAGAAGTAAGGGATGAGAGCCCTACCAAAGCCAGTAGGGATGGAAAGAACTTCATGGTCACGCAGGTGAGCGCTGTAATAGGGGCGCAATCTCACAACTTATGCGATGTTTAACTACTATAACCATGGCAATATATCAATTTGACTAGTTGCATGGTTTTGATTCAGGGCACGATGCATCATCTGGTCAATACGGCGCCGCTAGTGGGTCCAGCTAACTCGATGCATCAATGCCGGATTTTCGGGGCATTATTGACACGAGGTGGGGAAGCCGGGGAAGTGGTGCACGTGGATGGGTAAGTTACCTGTTTTGGAATGCAGGTATTCAGGAATGGAGCCTGTTGCTATGCTCGTTAATGTGTATGTATGCATGTTCATGCCTTGTTGTAGCAACAAAAGCAAGTCGGGTCTGATTCTTGTGTGTCGCATTCGCAACAAGGAGAGTAGCGGACTCATAGTAGATATAAGAAGATACAGACGTTATAGAGAGGTAGTTAAGGAGGTAGAGGCTGTCTGTAAGTAATAGGTCGATGGGTGCTTCCCAGCATAGACATCTGTGAATAGATGTTCTCTTCTTTTGACTAACAGCTCAACGCATTGCAGAATACTAAATCAGTAGTACGTAACATACGGACGCGATATGTGATAGTACAAGGTTTTCCCCTTCGCCTTACACGACTCGGCCGACGACCCGCTCAAACACGACAATTACAACCTCAACAACAGTACCAGTATCTTTGCCCAACCGACCATGAGCCGGTCCTGGACGATAACAACCATAGACTAGAAGTCTCGACAAGCGATACGTTGCCGAATATGGCAGGAGCCACTGCAGCCAAGGGCTGTTCTCTTGGCAAGTACTCCAACAGGCAAAATGCGCGTCTTGACTGACGTATCCCCCATCGTGGAAAAATGGGGAAAGAGAAGAAAGGAACATGGGATAAGAGCGTTTGTATGCGCAATTTGAGTTTTGGTGTCTCTATCCCCATCTTAAGTGGCACAGCGAGGATGAGACGCTCTTCTACTATCCTGCTGTTCGCAGCATATGCGTCGGCGCAAACCCAGTATGGAGAAAACCATGGCGCTGTAAGCTTCGATTCGCAGCTTGTAGAGCAGGCGGCATTCCCAGCGCCCAATGTGACGCTCTACAGCCCTGCCTTCATGTCCAATGCCACTTTTGATCCTGGATGGTTCGAGGGCACCGAGGGGGCAACTTCACTTGGTCAATTGGGTACACAAATCCGACTTGCTGTAACATAATTGTTGATTCTAACATTCTCGTAGAAAGATTCATTAGCGACCTCGCTGCAAAAAACCCTTCATGGATGAAGTACCAAATTGCCGATTTCCTTAGCGAAGAAGGCAAAGCATTTCCCTACGCCCTACTCTCGACGTCATCCGCATCAAACACGACTTCAGAGAAGCTCAAAGTCTGGATTCAAGGCTCGGTCCATGGCAACGAACCCGCTGGCGATGAAGCCGCGCTCGCCTTACTTGGGGCCATGGACAACAACCCAGTATGGGCCGCCACCTTGCTGGAGAAAATGGACATCCTCGTGCTCCCGCGTTACAACCCAGACGGTAACGCCTACTTCCAACGTACCTTGGCCACCAACTTCGATCCAAACCGCGATCACACCAAACTCGCTCGCCAGCAGACCCGCAATATCAAAGAATGGTTCAGCACCTTCTCACCTACCATTGCCATTGACTTGCACGAATACGGCGCAGCGACACTCTACTCGACCCACTACAGCAACGCAGCCGACGCCATGTATTCGAGCGCCAAAAACCTCAACATACATCCCGAGATTCGCGAGCTCTCGGAGACGCTCTTCGCACCGGCCATCAACGCGTCGCTCATCTCTCGAGGCCTGCGTGGCGAGCAGTACATGACAGCTTCGAGCCGCAACCCGCCGCGTCTCGTCGAAGCCGGCACCGACGCAAAGATTGGGCGCAACGCCATGGGTCTAACACAGTGCATCACGTTCCTTTTCGAGACGCGGGGCATCGGCATTGCGAACCAGCAGTTCAAGCGCAGGACGCTCGCGGGTCTACAGATGATTCTCGGCGTGCTCGAAGCAGCAAGGGACAATGCCGAGCAGGTCAAGAGCACAGTGGACAATGCTATTGCGGATTTTGCGGCAAGCAAACAGGACATTGTGGTTACCGACTACCCCAACTATGCCAATCGTACGTTTACAATGGTCGATCGCCGCACGGGAGATGTTGTGCAGCTGCCCGTCGAATTCGCAAGCAATACCCCGGCAACGGCGAACCTCACCCGTGCGAGGCCTCAGGGCTACATCATCCCTCGTGCATGGGCTGATCTCGCTGAGCGCTTGAGGGTCTCTGGCTTGGACGTTGAGACCATGCCAGAGGCGTTTCGGGGAGAGGTCGAGGTCTACAACATTACTTCTTCAAAGTTTGCTTCCTCATATTACGAGGGAGCAATCCTAAATACGGTGACTACAGAGAGTTCTGTGCAACAGGTTGCGTTGCCAGCCGGCAGCTTCTTCGTCAGCGCCGCCCAGAAGAATGCGGGCTTGGCCTTTGTAGCCCTAGAGCCCGAGAACATTGACTCTTATGTTTCTTTTGGATTGCTGCCGATGGAGGTTGGTGACCAGTATCCAGTCTTCCGTAAGATCTAGCTACATGACCGTGCATGCATGTTTCATAGACTCGGTACCCATACGTACGCATCTAAGAGCATATAGAAAAAAGATTTCTAATTAATAGTACAAACATTATCACCGTCGCCCATGGTATCAGCAGTGACCTCAAAAACATGAATACCTGGCATACTATGCTGTGACATCTCCGCTCTTCGCACGCTTAGCATCTCTCTCTTCACCCACCGCTGCATCCGCTCGTCGCTTGCCCTCATCTTTTCTTGCATTGTCTTTTTCCTCGCGAGCAGCCCGCCGCGCCTCCTTGTCCTGCTTTTCTTTTTCTTTCCGAAGTGCTTTGCTTTCGAATTCATGCCAATCCCCTTCAAGTTCTTTCAACGCCTCAGCTCGTTTTGGCGCAGGAGCCTCGCTGGTGAAGAAAGGATGCTCGAGCACGTCGGCCGCCGCCGGCCGTGCATTTGGGTCAAATAAGAACATTGCCTGAAGCAACTCGAAAGCCATAGGGCTGACACGGTCCTTGTACTTTTCTGCGAACGTCGACTTCTTACGTTCAGTTGGGCGTAGCAGCTCAAACCACTGCATGTCCACGATGCCAGGCCAATCCTGTACTGTTGGCGTACCAAGGACGTTGTAAATCTTTTCAAGCTGATTGATTTCTCCACCATCACCCGGGAAAATGGCGTGTCGCGTGAAAATCTCCACAAGCACGCATGCTGCTGACCAGATATCGACCGCTGGGCCATATTGTGTTTCTCCAAGTAACAATTCAGGGGACCGGTACCAGATGGTGATAACGCGATTGGTGTAGTCCAGCTTACCACTCTTCGAGTAGAAACGGGCGAGACCAAAATCAGCCAGTTTTAGTTGTCCGGTGTTAGACACGAGAATATTGGCCGCCTTGATATCGCGATGCAAAACCCCACGTCGATGGAGATAATCAAGACCTTCGAAGAGTTGCTTTGCAAGGTCTTTCTTGTGCGATGTTTCAAGTTTAAATGTCGGATGGTTTAAAAGGCCGGTTAAATCGTGGGAAAGGTATTCGAAGACCATGTAGCAGTCATTCTTCTCCACCATCACCTCACGGAGGTTAACAATGTTGGGATGGTTGAGAGATTGCAATAGTTTAACCTCGCGAATGGCGGTGACTGGAAACTGCAAAATGTCAGCAAAAGATCTTGTATATGTTCACAAGGAATACATACGCCATCGCGTTCGCCTTCCATACGAATCTTCTTTAGTGCAACCATATCCTTTGTGTAGACATGCACTCCTTTGAAGACCTTTCCATACGTGCCTGATCCAACCACTGACTCATTGCCGGGTTTCCTGTAGTACACCGATTCCGAGGCTGCATGCTCTGGGGCTAGTGTAGGTCGTGGCTTTTCTCGTTTCTTTGTAATTGTCTTGGTTTTTGGTATCTGAGGGGGCGGTGTCCTTCGTTCTGGTCGAGCAATAGGGCGTGGATCTGGCCGCCTATCATCATGCCTTCGTGGAAAGTACAGCTCCCGGCGGTCTCTTGGGTCTCGCACGTCCCTTGGATCTCGCAAGTCCCGCGAATCCCTTTCCCGAATATCACGCCCATCTCGAATATCCCGAGGGTCCCTAAAGTCTCGGTCGCGCGGGTCTCGGAACTCCCTTTCCCTACCACGATAATAGGGATCACGGGAATCTCGGATGTCTCGAGGATCTCGTTCGCGGGGGTCTCGATAAGTCGGTTTGCGGTCGTAATAGTTATCGTAGCGACGGTCTCGTTCCCTGATGTCTCGCTCCCGAAGGTCTCGTTCTCGATTATGATCGTAGTCCCTCTCTCTTGGATCTCTGTCTCGATCACTTCTTGACTCGGCATAGCGGGGAGCAACATCGCGTGCTGCTTCAACTTTTGCTTTTGGATCGAGTAGTGACTCTTTCGACACTGGCTCGGCTTTCTCGGGCTCCTCCAGCACCAATTTTGCTTTGCTTGCTGGAGGCACCGGATTCTTTGTCTTGAGTGAGAACCCGAATCCCGACTTCGTTGCTGTTGGGAGCGTAGCAGAAGACTTGGCCGGAGGAGCGGGGTTTTGCTCTTCTTTTGAACCCTCATCCTCTACCCGTAGATCTTTCGAAGGGCGGAAAGGATTGTCATCAGCGTCGACAGATGTGGAATCAGCTACCGTCTGTGATGTGGGAAGAGGCTGTGGGCGTGGCGCTTCGCTGGCGGGACGACCGCCTCGTGTTCCAGACGCGGGTGTCCATGAGAGATTTGAGAATTGGGTAGGCGCAGCGCCTCGACCCCGGCCACCAGGCCCACTAAAGGGAGCACCTCCGGCAGGGCCTGAGATCCGCCGATCGGAACCGTGAAAGCTGTTTCCGCGGAAGCCACCATGTCCACCCCGATGTGAACTGGATTGAAAACCGGATTGAGGGTATGACTGGTTTTGGTAGTAGCCAGGAGACTGACTTTGATGATATGGGGATTGCCCTGAATTGTAGCCATGTGGAGGAGATCTGTCAAAGTTAGCGCGAAGTGAGTAAATGTTGAATATAACTTACCCGTGGTTTGGATAGGACTGGTTGCTCCAACCCCCTCTGCCGCTGTGGTAGGGTGACTGATTTTGAGGAGAGTATTGTTTGTGGGAAAGATAGGGTGGGGATTGCTGAAATCCACCACGGCCTTGGTAATGGTAGGCTCCTCTCATCTTGTTCTCGTCTCTACGACCCCTGGACGTATCCGAATTGTAGCCAGATCCAGATACCGGTGAGCTTCTGCGGGAAACGTGCTTAGTAGGGTATCTTGACTTTGACCCTCGAGAGGGTGAACGGGATTGACGACGTCGTATGGGTATAGGAGGTGATCGACTTCTGCGTGGTGGAGTCCTAGCTCGTTTAGAGCTGGGGGGCGAACTTTTGTGAACAGGTGTTGGAGACCGTCTGCGGAGCGACGAGCGAGACCTGACGCGTCTTGGTGCTCGACCGCGACTTCTTGTTCGACCACGAACAGGACTGGGTTTGTAGGACCTTTCACGAGAATGATCCAAGGGCGGCGTGGTCCTCCCGTGAGTCCACCTCGGGGACAATGCCCTCGGCGACAATTCACGCCTGGACCTTCTATCGGGTGAAACCGATCTCTTCCGTGCACGTTGTGTTGCTGGTCTGTAGTAGGTGTCTACGGATGGCGACTGACGCCTGTGTGAAGCGGGCGGCAAGTAACTGTTGGGGGTGTTCCGTCGAGGCAGCCGATCGCGGTCAGAGGTATGAGGGCGAGGCGAGTATGCCCTTGCCGACGGCCGGCCCGAGGAATCTGCACGTCGTGTAGGCGACCTGGAGCGCACTGTGCTGCGACTCCGCGGGCGTTTTACGCGTTTGGATGATGGCCTAGGGGATGGGGAGCGACTGTGATAGTGTTTGGAGGATGGCGTCGTGTCGTGGCGGTGGTGGTGATGGTGATGGTGATGATGATGGTGGTGGTGGTGTCGACGATGGGGGTGGGCAACCCTGTCTGCACTGGCTTCCCTCTCTGAGCCTCGATAGCGGTCCTCCTTGGAGGCGCTCCGACTTCGCCGACGCGTGCGGTCCCTGTCGAGGCTTTTGTCGCGCGAATGGCCTCGGCTGTGTTTGCCTGATGAGCGGGCGTCGTGGTCGTGAGCGCGATGCCTGGAATGATGTCTGCCCGCCCGTGGTGCTGGTGACGATGTCCGAGGGTCGTAGCTGCGGTCGCGGTGGCGGTCTTTGGGACGTTCCCTACCTCGGTCAGGCGATGCCTCAGTTCTCCGCTCGTCTATATCCTGAGCCCGTCGCAGGGCAGCCATAGAGGCAAGAGGATCATCAGAAGTCGCAAGGTTGCAGCATCAAAAGATTCGCGGGTCAGAGCGACAGCCTAGCCGAGCAGGAAGGAACTCTATCTCCGAACCCCCCAGCCGATGATCAGATAGTGAGAGAGAAAAGAAAAGAGATACCACTGCAACTGGTCCGAAAGACAAGCGGGAATGCGCTGCCTGATGTCAGTGCGCTTCTGAATGATGCTGTCGTGGCTGCAGACGCTACTGTTGCAGTGCCTTTGCACAGGCCGGTCCTTTCGCTTGCCGCTATCGATGACGCCAAGGCCTCGTGACAAGGAGGCCCTCCTCCAAAGGACGCATCCCCATCCAACCCCAAACCCCGTCCCTTCAGTCTCGGGTCCTAGTGTGCTTGTGTGCTTGCGTGCTGCCCACGGCCGTCTTCCGGAGTGTGTCTACTTTCCATCTTCTGGCTACTGTGCATCAAGGGCAGGCCACCGCCAGGCTTCACGACAACTATCTACTGCATGCAAAAGACAACCGACTCATGGCAGACAATCCATACTGCGAAGCCTTCGCAGAAGGCAATTCCCTCATCCGGTGTAGGATTCATATACGGTTTGAGGACTTCTAACCGGAATATACGTGTTGGCAAGCGCCTGCACGCGAACCGAAGGGGGGGTTTTGGATTTCCGCTGGTGGTCAAAAATGAAAGCTGAGTTGATCTCCGCTGGGCTGTGGATCTGGTCCGATGTTGAATACCGTGGGCTCATGCGAGCGAGGCAGTCCACTACGGGAGGGAATGCAGCATATGCTTGTATCCACGAGGAAGCATGGAGCAGGAGCAACAAACAGGTGTAGGGCGAATGCGCCATGATCCCACCGACAGCAACATGCGGCTTAAGGCCACTGAGTATAGTCGCAGCCGACTCGCTTTACCAAGAGGAGACTCCCAACAAGACCATCTTCCATATATCGTGACCGAAGGAGCCGGGAAACCAACAAACCCCCCGCCCCAACGACAATATTCCGAGCACATGGCTGGGACACGCGAAGCTGAGTGATGGGCGGTTGTGGGGACACACCCAGCCGTGACCGATAGGCGACGACAGCTGACAGTCATTAACCTTCCCACCTATTCACCGATAGTGATGCAGTATACATCAGAGGCGCGACATGGAGAAGAATTAGTAACTAGTTATGTGGTGATGCGCGGCGGGTAAGTGACTCCCTAGAGTGGTGGTGGTGGTGCAATGAGGGTGCGTCCAAAAGACACTTCGTAGACCCTCATTCTAGTATAGTAGTAGAAGCAGCACATATAATGGCGTCCTCAGTCATGCCGCGATAGGCGCAAACCGGTAGTGTTGTCGCCTGCTTTGCAATGTACTGTGGGCGAAGAGGCATGCGCGCATCTTCTGTTGCTGGGAATGGCGGCAAGATGGGACTGCGGAGTAAAGTTGCGAGACAGGCCAGAGCCTGCCTGGGAGGGCGCGCCAGGTATCGCCAACCACCTCATCTTCGCCGTCTGCCCCTCATTGTAAGCATGGCAGTCGTTGTCATCGCCGTTATCGCTGCACCATCAAAAAACAGAGAAGAGAAGCGCCAACTAAAAGGGTGATGAGTATGTGTGGCTGCAGCGGAGTGTATTGATGGGGGAGGGTGGGGGTGGGTAGAAGGGTTGTTGTTGGAGTGCAGAGAGCCGGGCGCTCCCTCCTGGTCTGGCTGCAGCCCGTTCTGGTTCGCATCACGTGCGCATTCAGTAGCCAGTAGTGTAGCGTGGCGTCAGGTCATGGCACGCTAAGCCGCATTTCGCCGGGGTTAGGACAAAGTTATTCCTATGCAGTCATATGGACCGGCGCGACTAGGAATTTGTAGGAACCATGTATTACTGGACCGTTTCTCATCTTTTGGCAACTTTGCCCTCGCTCTTGCACTTGCTCTCTTGCCCAGGTCTGACCTAGTCATTACTCTTACATAAGTATACCGACATAGTAAATATAAGCCCCGATCACTCCATCACGAAACCCTGTTGCGATATCCCCACACCCCCGCCATCATGGACGCCGACACGACCAAACCACATTCCGCTGTGCCGTCGCACATGGTGAATGGAGGCTCGCCGCTCAGACTCACGACCGAGGCTCGCGATAAGAAGGAACGGGAAAATCTCTTCAACGCCATTGAGACGTCCAACCGGGGCCGGCAAGTGGTAAACTTCGACGGGCCGACTGGTTATTTCCCCGCGAAGGCTTTTGCAGCAAACAACAATGATGGCAGTACGGGCAGCGGACTCGAAATGAGCAACGGCCATACGGAGAACGAATCCGAGGGCGAGGACGCTGTCGTCCAAACGCCGCTTGCAACGAGCCGCGCGCACAGCCCATATACCCAGCATCCGACGATTGACTTTGATGGGCTTAGCTGGCCTAGTAAGGGCACACGGCATCGAAAGGAGGCGACGGATGAAGAGAAGGCGGAGAATCTGAAGAAGCTATCGGGGGCTGTACGGACAATGCTCGAGTGTCTGGGCGAGGATCCTGATCGCGAGGGTCTGCTGGACACACCCGAGCGGTACGCAAAGGCGCTGCTCTTCTTCACCAAAGGCTACGAGGAGAACCTGCGGGATATTGTCAACGGAGCCGTCTTTCACGAAGACCACGACGAATTGGTGATTGTACGGGACATTGAGATATTTTCGCTGTGCGAGCACCACTTGGTGCCCTTTACCGGAAAAGTAAGTGCAGGTTGTTTTCCCATGACTTGAAACTATTTGGTTGGAAATAAAAACAGATCGACTAACTGTACTGTCTGCATTAGATGCACATTGGTTACATCCCCAACCGCCGCGTCATCGGCCTGTCGAAGCTGGCGCGCATTGCCGAAATGTTTGCCCGCCGGTTCCAAGTGCAAGAGCGGCTGACGAAGCAGGTTGCGCTGGCGCTTTCCGAGATGCTGCAGCCACAGGGAGTTGCGGTGGTGGTAGAGTCGAGCCATCTTTGCATGGTGATGCGCGGGGTTCAGAAGACGGGTGCTACAACGACTACGAGCTGTATGCTTGGTTGCATGCGTTCGCGGGAAAAGACTCGCCAGGAGTTTCTCAACCTTATCAACAGGAGATAGAAACGCGGGGCGTCAGGTACAACACAATTGGCGTTAGTGTTTGGGATCCGGCGTTCTGCAGGGGGTGGGGAGTTCATCACTCTGACTGGGCGGGCATATTGCGTTGCATGACACAGACGCATAAGCCTTTCAACAGGTTGTGTTTTGTTTTACTTTTTTCTCTTCTTCTTTGTCTTTCTTGTTCATTTTCTTCAACATGCCTGCCACATACTCACGGTAACGTATCGTCAGATAGACAAAATCTTAAATTCATGTCAGATATCGCACGCTATGAGATGGACAGTTACATTAAAAACAGGCGCATCATGGTGAAGGCGCTGACGGCCTTGGTGGCTTCTGGCCATAGACCAACGATACTTCTTGATAGGCATGGATGCGTCGATCACGCAAGGCCTGGCGCATCAGAGCCAAGTAGACTTGGACTTCTTCGATGGTCCATTTCATAAGGGTGGTGAGCAGATAGATGCTCCACCCTTCTATGCCTTGCTCCCAGTTGATGCGGTTGTAGAGGCCAAGCTCCTTGAAGCGCTTGTCAGCAGGCCAACCGCCAATGGGCAGTTTCCAGCGGTGTTCAACAACGTTGATGAAGCCGGCAGCCTCGATGCCAGCCTTGGCCTCGTCGGCAGTGCGCAGCGATTTTCCAAACTTCTCACCGAGTTCGACCGAAATCTTGCCCCACTTGTCAAAGATGGAGCCAGGTTCTACGGTGCCGTCGTCGGATTTGGGAACAACGGACATTTCGAGTTGTTCAAACCAACCGCCGGGCTGGAGGTGACTGGTAGGATGGAGTTAGCAGCGCAGGGAAAGATGGGAGCGAGGCAAGGCGACATACTCGAGTGCTTCCTGGTAGAACTTGGGCCAATCAGCGACACAGCCAAAGAGGGATCGTGCGTGGATGAGATCAAAACTCTCTTTGCGGAATAGCCAAGGCTCAGTGAAGTCATCGACCTCGAAGCGAAGGTTAGGGGGTATCATGGAGGGTTGTGTGGGGCTGAGGTCGGTTCCCAGCACCTATGTCATAGAATTAGAGCACAATCTGGGGTGAATATTTGTTTGGTATTGAACACGGACCTCGCACGAGGGGAATCTGTCGGCAAAATCACTGTGGACTGTGTGTTAGTTTGGGGGGGCAGAGACGGGCTAAAGACTGACATTGCCCATATTCCTGTCAAGTTAGTCTGAAGCGGCCGGTCAAGTGGGTTGTTGGTGATTGCATACCAGTACCAGTACCCAAGTCCAATACACGCTAGAAGAAGGGAGCGAAGAGTCAATACGGGCGTCCAAGTATGGCAGCCGTGGTGGGGCGTACCATTGGGTCTTTGGTCAACGGGGCCATGTACAGCTCGCCATCGAGCAGGAGGAGACATATGTGATGACTATGGGGGTACAGTCAATATGGTGGTACATGGTCACGGGCGGGTGCAGTGCATACACAATGTCGAGCTGCTCGGCCTGTGTCTCATCATTGGGCCCCCCTGTCAAGTAGTCAATATGCGAAGTACTTGGGTAAAGTAGAGGAATGAGACTAGTAGGGCAGGGCAGGTGGGCGCACAGTATGAGCCTTCCTTGTAGGCGTGGTAGCGGCGGCCGTTGCGGTACTTGTAGTTTACAACGGCCGACTTGAGTGATGTTGTCTCGCTACAAGGATTGTTGTTAGAGACGGCTATTCCTTGACCGATGACGCATGGTAGATGATGGTGTAGACTTACGACGCCGAGTCATCGCCAAAGGCCGAATCCGTCTCATCTAAGTCCTGGGCGAGGGTCAATGTCAGACGCGGGACAGGCACGGGCACAGGTGCAGCTGGTGGCTTACAAGGGCGATTTGGGCGCCAATGTCAGCCATGGGTGGCAGGGAGCAAGGTAACGGTGAAGGTGGTGTTGGAGAGGGTGATGCAGGTGGTAAGGGCCAGCGTGCAGTGGGAGGGAGGGGAATGGAGTGAGTGCTATGGCCCAAGCCTCGCCTTCGCCTCGCCTCCGGCCCTCAGCCTCTGATCAGGCAGGTGCAACCCAGCCAGCCAGTCGACCACCAATCCACACGCACACACACACACACACACACACACACACAGCCAGTCCATAATAAAACCAGTCCACAGCCAGCCCACCAGGTAATCGTTCACACGGCTCGGCACGTTTCCATCCGCGAGCGAGCCTTGGCGTGCTTACATGTACCCTCCGGTTCCATACATCCATACACTGCCTGCGTACACTACATACCACACATACCCCACTCGACTCCACCAAGGCCTCGACTCGACTCGACTCGACTCCTTCGCTCCCTCGCTCCCTCGCTCCCTCGCCCCCTGCACAGATGCCAGTAATATTACACAGCACATTTAAGGTACCACCACTCATATCGCCATGCAACTTACATACTGACTCCTGACACTGGACTAGTACCCCCCCGCTCCGTGTCTGCGATGCGGCTCCCAAATCGTCGTTTCGCCTATCGCTCCCATGTGCACAGTGCTCTGTCCACACCAAACGCCTGATGGCTCTGGTTGGTCATTGTCGCACGTAATCTACTCGACCTCCTGTGCAGACGTCATGGAGCCTGCGACGCAATCAGGAACAGCTGAGGTCCAAAGTGCATTGACAATCTTGTACAACTAACTGGTTGCCCTTCTTTCTCCCATCTTTCCGTGGCACCATACCAATGTCCCTACTCTCCCACGTACCCGACACGGCGGTACTCGTCTCGGCGGCCCTGGCTGCCCTGCTCGCCTATGTCGTGGCCGCCCTGACGTACAACATCTACCTGCACCCACTCGCCAGCTTCCCCGGTCCGCCTCTAGCTGGCGCCACCGTCTACTGGAAGGCCTACGTCGAATGCATCGCAAACCGATCTTTTTGCCACTACCTAGTCGACCTGCATGCTCGCTACGGCAACGTCGTTCGTGTCGGCCCCAATGAGGCAAGCAAGCAAGCAAGCAAGCATTCGTTACTTGCATCTACACCTACGCCCACTCCTCGTGCCGCATTGCTGACAAGCTTCGAATAGCTCCACTTTGCCAACCCCCAAGCCTACCATGACATCTACAACAACAAGAACCGCTGGGATAAAGAATCCCGTCTCTACAAGAGCTTCAACGAGGACAGGTCTAGCTTTGGCTTCCTCACCTATGCCGAGGCCAAGGACCGCAAGCACGTTCTAAACCCCTCCTTCTCTCAAGCCGCCATTCGCAGTGCAGAGAGCCTATGTGTCGACAAGATCAAAGCTCTGTGTGCCGCCTTTGAGCGCCAAGCCAGAGCTTCCAAGCCCACTGACCTCTTCTACGCTTTCCGCTGCATGAGTGTCGATGTCATCACCACTCTATGCTTTGGCAATCCCATTCATGCCGTCGATGCCCCAGACTTCAACGCGCCCATTGTAGTAGCCCTCGACGCGTCAACTCCCGTAGCCCTTTACTTCAAGTATTCTGATCTCTTCAAAAACTTCATTTTGAAATGTCCTCCGAAGATATCCAGGATTCTCAGCCCCTTGACGGCGGGCTTGATCGACCTCAACCAGGTATGCCGACTTCCCGCCCCCCAACGTGATTGCAATACCAAACAAAAAAATAGCCAGTTTTCGCTGCTGACAAGTTCATAGCTACTCCTGCAGCAGATCGACGACCTAACCAATGATCCGGAAAAACTCAAACTTCTTCCGCACAACATGACCATCTTCCACCGTTTAATGGACCCCGAAGCCCATCGTGACAAAAAGGTTCCCTCTGCCGATAGTTTGTATGAGGAGACGCAAGCACTCATGTTTGGTGGTGCAGATACGACCGGAAATACTCTCATGGTTGGCTCTTTCCATTTGCTAAAGGACTCCACTAAATTGCAAAAACTTAAGACGGAACTTCTGGAACATTGGCCTTCTCTCCAGGATGGTGAGCCTAAGCTAAAAGACTTAGAAGACTTGTCATACCTGAATGCCGTCATCAAGGAATCGCTGAGGCTCTCGTCCGGCGTTACTGCTGGCCTACTGCGCGTGGTACCTGCAACTGGCGCAACCATAGCGGGAAAGGTCGTGCCACCAGGCGTACGTATATTCTCAACTCCAACTTATGACAAACCATCTGCTGATTGTGTCACAGACTATTGTGTCATGTGGTAGCACCTTTGTCCATTACAATGCAGACATATTCCCCGAACCAGACAAGTTTGTTCCTGAACGCTGGCTTGAGACACCCGAGCTGGACAACTGGCTGGTCGCTTTCTCGCGTGGTCCGCGAATGTGCTTGGGTATCAAGTAAGTTTGATCCAAGTCGTAATTCTGCTATTATGATTGTAGGGCCAGAACTAATATGTTGTAGCCTTGCATGGGCCGAACTGCGCCTAACATTCGCCCACGTCTTTCGCAAGTTCGAAATGACTGTCCCAAAGCAACTGTACGTCTCCCACCATCCACCTAGCCATTCCATTCTTACTCGAACGCCTCCATGTTATATGCTGACCATACACAGCCCAGAAACGCTCCTATGGCGGGATGTCTTTTTGCCATATTACTATGGCGAACACTTACAGGTCAACATGCGCCCCGTAGACGCGTAGGCTGCTCGCGAGCTGCACGTCCAAGCAAGCAGTTCTCCATGGCAAATAGTAAAGCAAGGAAGCGAATACGTATAAGGCTCGAGAGAGAAAAAATTCCAGGTGTCGAAAGCTCTAAGCTCTAATATTAATACATTTTGCACAAGCGAATTGGTAGTGCTTGTGGTGGCGATTCGCTGGATCAGAGATGACAGGAGACTGCGCTACATAATCGTACATTGCATACCAAAAAGCGCCCTTGCCTTGTCGTCATTATTAACATCTTTTCTCGCCTCTTCATGAATACACGGGCTACCTAGACTACAAACGATGCGCCAGAACCGTGAATATATTCAAAGCGCTGGTACAAGGGCGTGATTGGAGTGGCTGTGAAAAGGATCATCCTCCTATTCCCTTTCCTCGTGCACTTTGTCCCACGCGTCATACCATCCTTTCATCTCCCATCTTCTTGATAACATCCACTGCTTTGTCTTCTCATTCCCAAAAAGGAATGGATGATCCCACCACTTTTCATGCACACTGTATAAACCTTTTTCAATATCCTGGTCGTTTGGCCAGCGGATGTTCCACGTGTAGGCCAGTTCGCGCCAGGGCATGGGGCCGTCCCATCGATGCGCGTAATTGATGAGATTTTGTTCCTGATATTTTGGGTCAAATGAATTGGGTGTATTCATAAGCGACTTGTAGTACTCAAAGGCAGCGAGTGAAGGTGCCAGTATGAAGAAGCCCGCATTCATATATCCAGGCTTCTTCAACCCCGTGCTATGGGTTGGAGGAAACGAATGGGTCGAATTCCACACTTCGGAATTAGATGCGATAAGGTAGGTTGAGGGCAACGTCGTGTTTGTCGTAGTATCTGAGGGGTTTGTAGTAGCAAGCAAATGAACAGCTGGATCGTCAAACACGGGATCTAGTGTCTTCAACAGCATCGAGTCGGCGTCCAGCATGAGGATCCTGTCATATTGCACCATTTCCCACGCGCGCATTTTAGTCAAGATGTTGTTCCAGCGCTGGACGCTCGTCTTCAGCCATGCGTCATTTGGTGTGTGGAGAAAGTCGACCGCGTGCACAATTGCGCCATCTCTTTTGAGCCGGTCCCGTCTCGCCTGCGACACATTGGGTGTAACCATGACAATCACATCGTGCTTTGTTCGCGTGCTCGGATTGTGCAATAGCTGCCACAGGAGGATGCGCGCCGCGACGAAATAATTGTCCTTTTCTAAATCGTCGCTTACATCCATGTCTTGCGTCATGAAGATCATGTATGCATATTTTTTCGTATCCTGGTTTACTTGCTCTGTCGCTAACTTATACGGCGGTGGCGTTGGTATGGGTGGTGTGGGCTCGGCCGGTTTATCTTGTGCAGTTATCTCTTCCGGCTGTGTTTCGGGTGTAGGTATTGCATCCACTGGTTGTCCTTCCCATAGTTTTCCATCAGGCGGCTCCTCTTCAGCAGACAAATCATCCAAGATGAGTGGTGTGTCTAGGAAAGACAACTTTTCTTCGACAGCCTTGGAGCCCTTGTTTCCAAGAACATCTTGTGAAGGTATCTTTTCGAATTGCCGATGTATAATCTCACTCTGCGTACTGAGGAACATAAATATTGAAACAAGAAGAAAAGAACTCAGCGTGATTCGGAGCCACCGTTGATTGACGGGATGATTGTTCCAGGACTTCATGGTAGCGTAAGAGCCTAGAGTAGCGGCACTCAGAGTCGAAGGCAATGAAGGGCATTGCCCTTTAGTTACATATTCTCATACGCCTCAACATAATCCCTCTTAACACGTACCAAGAGCGCCAATCCGTCTCGTGTTACTGAACAAGAGCGTAAGCACTCATCAAACTCTATAACTGTAAGCTGTCTTCCCGTCTTACGGCCGGTTTCGGTGCTCACTTCCCGATTAAGCACCTAGCTTGGCACTGTGTATCACCCAGAATCACCATGGAAGAATATTTGCTGGAACAATCTCACTTTCTGTAATTTTCGGAAGGTTGCATGTCTCAAAGTGTTGGATATAGACGTATTGCTGGCGTGAATATCCGCAATGAGAGATGTTAGGTTTGGATGCGGGAAAAAGAAGACCAAGTCGACGGTCGGTTCTGGGCGTAGTGACATTTATAATACAGATATAAGCACTAAGACAGGCTTGAGCATGTGTTATAAATTCTGAAGTTGGCACTCTCGTACCCGATGAGTTCCGATGACTCGTCACCCCTTGCGTTGTCAAATTTGGTAGTTGACGTATAGTTATTTCATATATCTGACTAAGACTCGACGATCAAGGTCATCAAAACTCCGGTTGTCACACTCAATCACAACTTGAGATCGATCTGCAAATTTCTTGATAGATCGAAATGAAAGATTCGTCGCTTTTTTCGGCTTTCAATTACCTTTGCTAGCACTAACCATTCCACATTGCTGTGCAGGTGGGCGTGTTGCGCACGATAGCATCACAGAGTAATATTTTTATTGCTATCTCACAAAGGGTGGTGTTCCTAGCTAAAGACAGTGCTATTATGCATGAAACAATCTTTCGACCCTATCGCCTCTGAGCTGACAAGTTAGTAAACGTGTGGAAAGAACGTGCCGCAATACGTCGCAGGTGGACTTACATCAAGGGTAGATTTACCATAGCTTGAGTAACAACACTCACTCCGATTTCGAGCTGACCCCTCCGAGATGAACAATCAGAGGGTCGTCAGAAAGAATGTGCGTGGAATATGGATGGGATGAACAGGCTGAGTTGAGAAACATACGGTAACGTAACCCCATGAAAGATATAAGAAGGCCGGCAGTTCAAAAATTAAGAGAAGGTTGGAGTTCCTACTGGTTGGTTTTCTCACATTCATCTTGCGTACAAAGATAGTGCATGGTTACAAACGGAGGGAGTGAACTATGTATCAGTTCCTAGCAGATTTATTGAAGTGTCTTCTACGTCTATAACTGAGTAGTGCTTATTAGAATCTCTCAACACCGCTGGATGTAGTACTGGGAACGTTCGGATATAGGCCCACAAATTTACTAAGATAATACGCGATACATGTGTATTTGCATTTCGATGCGTGGACAAGGGCGACTCATGTACAGGCTGCTCCCTGCTGCGAACGCGTACAGAATCCCCCGAAGCACGCTTACTACCCGAGTACAAGGCACAAAATCCCATTGATTTAGTCACAGCCAGTAGGAAAGATTATCTTCAAAGCAGGGGTGACTTCCTGGTCGCAGCTTTAGTTGCATATTACAAATCGGGTCCCCAGAGGTGTGTGGTAGACGAGGAAATGCCATCTGATTAGCTCTGACCATCTCTGTAATTATTGGCTGTGCTAAGATATCTGGATCTCCGTAAATGAATACCTGGCGATTGGTTATGCGATGAATACGAGAGTCTCTAATAAACTAGCTAGAAACCAGCTAGTAATAGGTCAAGAAACTTCGTTCTCTGCAGCATTCCCTCGATACAAAGAGCCCGTCCTACATCATACATATAAAATATATAATTCTAATGACCTTGCTAGCAGTCCTGAAGAAGGGAGGTAACTTAAACAGTAGATAGCGGTTGTAACATCAAGCTTCAGCTGCACCACCCTTTAGTACTCCCAGTCAGGTTGTCAGAGTCATAATGTTCATATACATAATTTTGAAAAAATACATTACTATCAATCTAGACTTTTCACAAGCTTTACAAGAATTATGAGATTGTTGTTGCTGAGATATGAGAGTGTTGGTTTGGGGATTTTTAGTAGGGTTTTGCGTGCGTAACTTAAGTACCGATAAAACATGATAATTTGTAGGAGATGTTGGGTAAACAATTTAGAACAAAAAACACTTTTAGGACCCACTGACTAGCGATGGAATGAGTTTTAAACTCCAGACTGAAACCCTATTTCTTAAGGCAATAACAGCCCCCATCAATCCAAGTACATTGCTCATTATCGCAGCAGTAATAGTCACCGCATGGCCAAGTACAGATATAGCATTTTAATGATACTTCAGATATCGTATTGAAAGGAGGGATGCTTCCAGATGTATTGAATGAACATACCATCCTTCTTGCTAGCATCAATAGGCCCTTCAGATGCAGCAACCTGCTTGGCAGAATCTTCGATAACATCTATCAACATTTAGTTTTATCCCTTGCTAGCACAAGAATACGTAGTCCTTACTTGTGATTGAGCTTTCAGGAGCTGCGTTGGCCGGTCCTCCCAACGAACCGGCGATGTGGAACATAAGGCAAAGAGCGATGACCTTGGTATTCATCATAGTGGAACGGTTATAAGCCAGAGATTGTTAAGGTATTGGAGTGATAGCTTGGTGATGCTACGTTGGTAGGCAGCTTGAGCGCTTTTATATGTTCAATGCCTCTGCTGAATAACGAGCCTATCGCCAACGAAGAGTTTTAGTACGTCTCTTACTGTAACATCTGGATCGCGCATATGACTTTGAGGATGACCAGCCGCAGCTGAATGCGACCGAGCTTGCATCATATTTTTCCTTAGAGCCTTCCCTAAGTTCCAATCTTTTTAAGTTCGATTGTGATGAATCGAGGTCCTGTACTCTGCATTGGCGTTATGCGAAGCTAAATTGATCTTCGTTCACCAAAGCTGAATGTCTAATGTATCAGGCAAGCACTGGATGCAGTCATCGACGATAGGGATGTTTCAAATGGACTTCCAGCATCTTTCATACGCTTAGATGTTTTTTTGAGCTCCTACTCCCGCCCTGACTATCATGTTACACACATTGTTCGTTGATGTACATTCAAGTGGTACGTCGTGAAGAGGAAAGTTGCTTAAATATTGTTAATATTCTAATCAGCACACAAGGGAATCAAGAGAGGAAGAGCAGAGTAAGATCATGTAATCTTATCTCCTCAACCGGAACAAGCGAACTATTGCCTATGGATATGTGCGGGATCATCCTAAAGCCGAGTTATACGAGGTTAGGTAAAGTGGATTCCACGCAAAGGATAACCAAAGAAATGAGATTACGCCTGTCATCGAGCCTGCTTGATTGTTGCTTACATTATCCTTCAGGCTAGAAAAATCTGTTGCCTTGATCACAATGTCGGCCCTCTACAAAACCCCACGCAACCTGACAATTCACGCCACCAAAATAGTATATGACCGATAAAATCTATCCCCAAACTTGGATGCCCAATGATTGTTTACCTTGTTCATGTGGCAGCAGGAAGGGTTGGCCAAGCGGATCACCAAACCTACAACTTCAATTGATAGGCTTAGCAGCTAGTCCGTGCCTCGCGTCCTAGGCACATGTCTAAACTGAGCATTCTCGTGAACACAGAATAAAAGATACCCACCAGCGTTGCTTACCAAAGGGCACTTGATTCAATGTTGCCAATAGGCGATGTGTGATAGTATTGAACGGCTGAAGATCGGTTCATGCGGGTACTTGCGGTATTTCTGACGTAGTGACACAGCTGGTCCATTTTGTCATGGGTTTTCTTAGAATTTCAGGAGCGTGCATGTGAGATATGGCAGTGAACGGCTACTTGCAATGTTATGCTGCAGTTGCCCGGTGCTAAGAGCTCTATTGAGAAGTGCATCTGCTGACGCTCAATGCACGCAGCTACTTCGTGCGGAGGCGGTACCATTCACATGGGCTTCAGCTGAACATTTTCAAAGGTAGTACACTTAAGCAGCAATATGACGGCCGACTAGTATCTCAAGGTAGCGGTACCGGTAAATCTTAGCTCTACAGTTCTGCATAGAACATGCAATTAGTCTTGCTCTTTCTCCCAGTACGGAAGCGGCTAGAGCAAAGTGCTGCATTGGATCAGCGATCAGAAGCATTGGCCGACGACTGACCTAGCTGAGCTAGAAGACGACGTATCTGTCACACTTCGTGGTGTGTGCTACTTGGTAAAATGCGGAAGTAGGGGCAGTGGGGCGGTGGCAGAATCCGGGATCATGTAATATACTAGTATCGTGAGATGGAAAGATTCAATATCATGAACCCACCAATAGTAGTCCGCGACGAGAAGACACTTAGTCTTAAGTGCTGGCTTGTTAGTCGTAATATAACAGTACAAGGAAAGTTTTGATCTATCCGAAATCTTACCGAGCAAAACTATGTATTTTCTCTACTGCCCCTACTTTCGCATTTTACCAAGTACCTTTTGGCCTTGCGGCTGCACCAGGGATAAGCGTGGATGCTGGATTGATTGGCTACGTATGGTACCTAGGGCGAAGAAGCTATTCAAACAGCGCGTACGGTGTAGACACCCAGCAGTCCGAGACTATCTTGAACAGATGGATCGTTTTCTAGAGCTACTCTGTCTTCCTGTTCATCTTACAGACGACCAGCCGCATCGTGGCCAGAGCTACCCTCCGTACGATGGCGTAACAGTGTGCTGCAAAAACCGCAATCTCTACGTCACAGGCGGCCAAGTCGCGTTTACCAATCGCTACCACAAGGAACAGTCGCAGTAGCACAGACCCAAGGTAGCCGCGCGGTTCTTGCCCGAGGCAGTAGACCAGTTAACGGTGCTATACCTACAGCCTCGTACGTGCGATACTACTTAGTAATAGCTAGGGCAAGGTAGTAGCTAAGTATTGCGCCAGCGAGCAACTACTAAGTACGTATCTCTGGGCTAGCGGCAGTGAGCCCTAACAAACCAATCACCTTACACTTTCCATGACACCAGAGTGCCGTCACGTA